GCTGGCCGCACCAGCCCCGCCTGCTCCCCCGGGCCTGGCCGCTCCCAGCCTGGCAGCCGCTGCTCCGGGCCTGGCCGTACCCGACCCGGCTGCTCCCCCGGGCCTGGCCGCTCCCAGCCTGGCAGCCGCTGCTCCGGGCCTGGCCGCACCCGACCCGCCTGCTCCCCCGGGCCTGGCCGCTCCCAGCCTGGCAGCCGCTGCTCCGGGCCTGGCCGCACCCGCCCCGCCTGCTCCCCCGGGCCTGGCTGCTCCCAGGCTGGCAGCCGCTGCTCCGGGCCTGGCCGCACCTGACCCGCCTGCTCCCCCGGGCCTGGCCGCTCCCAGCCTGGCAGCTGCTGCTCCGGGCCTGGCCGCACCTGACCCGGCTGCTCTGGGCCCGGCTGCCCCGGGCCCGGCCGCTCCGAGCCTGGCCACTCCCGACCTGGATGCTCTGGGCTTGGCTACTGCTGTTCTGGGTCTGGCTGCTCCCACCCCGGCTGCTCTGGGCCCGGCTTCTTCGGGCCCGGCCACTCCGGGTCTGGGTGTTCCTGGACTGGCCACCCTGGGCTTGGCCGCCTCCGCCTCATGCCTGGCTGCCACTGCCCCAGGTCTGGCTACTCCAGTGCTGGCTGTTGATGCTCTGGTTCTGGCTGCTGTTGTTCTGGGGCCTGGCCGTTGCTGCTCCGGGTCTGGCTGCCACTGCCTTGTGCCTGGCCACTCTAGGCCTGGCCGTCGCTGTTCCAACATCCTGTCCTTATTTTTTCTTTTTAAAACGCATTTATGTTGCAATGTTGGCTGGTGAGTTGAGTTCTGACTTAGTCTTTGATTTTTCAAGATCTTCTTTGTATTCTTTCTTAAGTAATTTTACTATTTTTTGCTCTCACTTGATTTCTTCACATTGAGAACTTCTTTGGTTTCTTCCTCCTTGTCCTGGGAGCTCAGCAGGTTGGCCTGTGGCACCCCTTTGTTCTCCGTGGGCTCCTGTGCTGCTTCAGCCTGTTGCCGGGACGGCGCCGCCCAGGAAGCAGCCCCCGGCCTTGGCTCCATTGCCCGAGCTCAGTGGTCAGAGGCTCAGGGGCACCCACACCCCCAGGGGCCCCGTGGCCCGCCTCCTTGCTGGTGCCTGGTTGGCTGGAGGCCGGCAGGGGCTTCTGCTCCCCTCCGCGTTCCCCCAGCCTAGAGCTTTTTTTTTTTTCTCCTTCCCGCTAGGGAAGTCCAGCATCAGAGTCAACAGACTGTCCTCTGCGCGCAGTTTGCGCGAGTCCCACAGACTGTCCTCTGCGCACAGTTTGCGTGAGTCCCCCAGACTGTCCTCTGCGTGCAGTTTGCGAGAGTCCCGGGGGCCCGGCCTTTCGCCACTCTTCCCGGACTCCACCTCACAGCCCCGTCTCCCTCTGCCTGAGCCTGGGTCCCCAGGGATTGGCCCAGAACTGGGGTTCGGAGCAGTCCGGACTGAGGCTCAGCGCCGCCGGAGGCCTTGTTTCTTCCGGCTAGGGCAACCCAGCATCAGAGTCAACATTCAGTCCTCTGCGCGCATTGCGCGCGACTCCCGGGGCCCTGCCTTTCGCCACTTTTCCGCCTCACGGCCCTGTCTCCTCCCGCCGGAACCTGGGTCCCCAGGGTCTGGCCCATAAATGGGGCTCAGCGCTGCCGGTTCGGGGGGGGGGGGGGCTCAGCGCTGCCGGTTCGGGGGTTCAGCCCAGGCTGGGGGTTTTATTCCCTTCCTGCTAGGGAAGGAAAGGCGGCTCCCCGCCCTCTCCTCCTCTCCGGCTGCGACCTCTCCGTGCGCGCGTGCGGGCGGGCAGGCTCGCGCAGCATGTCTCCGTACCTTAGGCTTTTTTTCAGCTCCTCTGATTTTCTTTCTGGTTTTCTCTTTCCTTCTTGTTGTAGAAATTTCAGTCAGTCGACTACCTGTAGCTCTGGGCAATGTCCACTCTACATTTTAGTTGTATTCCATTGAAATTGTTGTGTGCTGCCGCGGCTAGATGTCTACCCGAGCAGCCATCTTGGATCCTCCATATGAGTTCTTTATATGTTTTGGATACTAACCCTTGATCAGATGTATCATTTGCAAATGTCTTCTCCCATTCAGGCAGCTGCCTTTTTGATTTGCTGATGGTTTTCAGTTTGATACAGTGTCATTTATTTATTTGTTTATTAATATATTTTATTGATTTTGTACAGAGAAGAAGGAAGAGAGATAGTTATAAACATCGATGAGAGAGAATCATCCATCAGCTGCCTCTTGCACACCCCCTACTAGGGATGTGCTCGCAACGAAGGTACATGCCCTTGACAGGAATCAAACCTGGGACCTTTCAGTCTGCAGACTAATGCTCTACCACTGAGCCAAACCGGTTTCGGCCAGAGTCATTCATTTATGTTTGCTTCTGTTGTGCCAGCCCTAGGAGACATATCAAAAAGCACAATAAAAAGGTGAAGGGGTAGCGTTTACTACCTAGGTTTTTCTCTGGGAGTTTTATGGTTTTGGGGGTTGCATGCAGGTCTTTAATTTTGTGCTTATTTCTATGTACGGTGTAAGGTGACCAGCTTCATTTTTTTTTTTTTTTTTTTTGCGTGTATCTATGTCTGCGCCAGTTCTGTGCAGTTTTGATTACTGGCGCCTTGTCGTATAGTTTGCAACCAGACAGTGGTAACCCTCCAACTTTGTTCTTTTTTCTCAACATAAATCCATATATGAGTGTGTGTTTGTGTGTGACCTTCACATTTTCCAATATTGGCCAACAATTCCATTTTTCAACACTTTCTGGGCTGAAAGAAACCTGGAACCTCCCCCTCCCCCCCTCTGCTCCAGATGTAGCAGGCCCACCTCTTTCATCATCCCCATCCCTCCCAGCTCGACTGTTAATAGGACAAACCATCAGTTATTTGGACTCGAGTTTGACAAATTAAATTGCAGAGAATTAAAGACGTTGTAGATCAATACATCGCGACGATCGATTAATTATTCCTCCTCATTAAAATGACTAATTCCTAATACCTTCCAGTTGTACTTTATTGTCCCATTTGTAATTCGGAGCTTTTAGGCGATTGCGTTGAGTGCAGGCACACTGGCACCTGGGCGTCGATGGCTTATGAATCTCAGGCCTGATTTGGCTCCGTTTCCTTCTGCTGCTGCAGGCTTGTCATGTGGCCTGTTCTGTGGTCCTCACACCACACGGAGTTCCTTCTTTTGTGGAAAAAAAAAATGGTAAGAAGCAGTAGGCAGGTGCACTCACAAAGCAGGTGAACGGACGAACTCAAGCGGTTTTTTGAAATCATGAGTGTTTTTAAAAAAATACATTTGTATTGATTTCAGAGAGGAAGGGAGAGGGAGAGAGAAAAACATCCATGATGAGAGAGAATCATGAATCGGCTGCCTCCTGCATGCCCCCCACTGAGGATGGAGCCCGCAACCCGGGCCTGTGTCCTGACCGGGAATGGAACCTTGACCTCCTGGTCCATAGGTCGATGCGCAACCACTGAGCCACACTGTATATTTTTCACTTTAATCTTTAACTCTGAAGGGTTTGCAGCTGGGTTTGCAGCTGGGGAAGGAGCTGTGAGATTTGGGGATGGAAGGACTTTGGGGACAAACAAATGGCCGCCCTCCCGGCTCCTCGGGAATACAAACGAAATAGCAGGCACCTGGCAGCCACTGCCCGGACCATCATCTGGAAAAAAGTACGAATGAGGTTCTCCTTTAACCCACGCCGCAGGGGGTGTGGTGGCCCGAGGAGGAGACTGGCCCAGAGCTGCAGGAACTGCCGGGCCTCCCGCCAGTGGGGGGCTCGGTCGGCAGCCACGATTGTCTACAAATGAGTCCAATTAACTGGACACATTTTCCAGGGGCGCCTGCTGCCTCTGAAAGGGGGAGGGGGCTTTCGGTGCCTCTGCAGCAGCTGCCTGGAGAGAGGATGGCGAGCGGCTGATGGGGGCCCATATGCGGCTCCACATGCCTCCAATTAATCACAGTAATGGACTGGGGGGGGGGGAGGGAGAGAGGGAGAGAGAGAGAGAGAGAGTGAGAGAGACTGCAGCATCAGCATCCGCACTTCCAGGGTTCCTGCTCCTGCTCCTCCTGGGCTGCCAGCGCTCCGGAGGGCGGGGCCCAGGATGGCCTAGGGCTGTGGTGGGCAAACTGCGGCTCTCGCGAGCCACATGCGGCCCTTTGGATCTTCTCCAAAATACCAGGGCCTGGGCGAGTTAGAAGAAATTTAAGTTAAAAAACTTTGGCTCTCCAAAGAGATTTCCGTCGTTGTACTGCTGATATTTGGCTCTGCGGACGGATGAGGTTGCCGGCCACGGGCCCAGGGCCCCGGGCCCAGGGGGTGCGGAGCAGCAGTGCATTTGCAGTGGCTTCAGTGGGACCGTCTGTGTTCCCCAGTGGCCGTCAGGCTTCACGCCGGGCTGCCCGGGGGCCGTGCGCCGAGGGGAGACTGAAACTGTGCCCAGGGCTGGCCGGGCCTCCCAGGGTGACGGTCACCGAGCCGGGGGAGGCGACGGCCTCCGTCTGAGCCCGGGGGGCGGTGGCCAGAGGCGGGGCCCAGGCAGGGCGAGGGTCTCCCGGGCTCTGGGGCGCCCAGGACCGGGCGCGGAGCTGTGCGGACACACACCCGAGGCCGCGCTGCGAGTCCTGGCGCCGCTAAGAGCGCACGTTTCGCAGGGACCCCCATCCCCGCCGCCCGCCGTGCAGGGGGAGACGTCAGGTCGCGGGACCCGGGCACCTCGCAAAGCTCTTGGCCCCGCCCCCGGCTTGTGTCCCTGGCCCCGCCCCCAACACACGCCCCGCCTCTGGCCCCGCCCCGGGGCTCTGGGCCCCGCCCCGACGCACGCCCCGCCCCCGCCCTGGGGCTCTGGGCCCCGCCCCATGGCCTGGGGCTCTTGGCTCCGCCTCCGACGCACGCCCCGCCCACCGGCGCGCTGACGTCTGGCGGCCGCGCCGGCCGCGCCTCCCGCGCCTGCGCGACGGGCGGAAGGTCGTCTCCGTGACCGGCCGGGCGTCTGGAGCAGCCGTCGCCATGTTGTCGGTCGCTGCCCGCTCGGGCCCGTTCGCGCCCGTCCTGTCGGCCTCTTCCCGCGCGGTGGCGGGCGCGCTGCGGCCCCTGGTGCAGGCCGCGCTGCCCCCGGCCCCGGAGCCGCCGGTGCTGGACGTGAAGCTGCCCTTCCTCTGCCGGGAGTCGCTGAACGGCCAGGCCGCGAGCGGGCCCCTCATCGCCGTCGTGGGCCTTAACGGTGAGCGGGGGTCCCGGAGCCCCAGGCCCAGGGAGCCGCGGGAGGGCGGGTCTGGGGAGAAGAAGCGGGGCCTGGTGGAGGGAGGGCGGCCGGGGCCCTGGCGGGTCCGCGGGCTCAGCTTCCGCCTCCGCGGCCCCAGCTTCCGCCTCCGGGGGCCCCGCTGTCCGCCCCCGGGGCCCCGCTGTCCGCCCCCGGGCCCCGCTGTCCGCCTCCGGGACCCCGCTGTCCGCCTCCGGGGGCCCCGCTGTCCGCCCCCGGGGCCCCGCTGTCCGCCCCCGGGCCCCGCTGTCCGCCCCCGGGGCCCCGCTGTCCGCCTCCGGGGCCCCGCTGTCCGCCCCCGGGCCCCGTTGTCCTCCCCCCGGGGCCCTCTGTCCGCCCCCCGGGGCCCTCTGTCCGCCCCCGGGCCCCGCTGTCCTCCCCCCGGGGCCCCGCTGTCCGCCTCTGGGGCCCTCTGTCCGCCCCCGGGCCCCGCTGTCCGCCTCCGGGGCCCCGCTGTCCGCCTCCGGGGCCCCGCTGTCCGCCCCGGGGCCCCGCTGTCCGCCCCCGGGGCCCTCTGTCCGCCCCCGGGCCCCGCTGTCCGCCCCCCGGGGCCCTCTGTCCGCCCCCCGGGGCCCTCTGTCCGCCTCCGGGCCCCGCTGTCCTCCGCCCGGGGCCCTCTGTCCGCCCCCGGGCCCCGCTGTCCTCCCCCCGGGGCCCTCTGTCCGCCCCCCGGGCCCCGCTGTCCGCCTTCGCGGCCCCGCTGTCCGCCCCCGGGCCCTGCTGTCCGCCTCCGGGGGCCCGCGGGCTGGCGATCGCTCCGGCCCCGGCCCCGGCCCCGGCCCCCTCGGCCCCGCGTGTCCTCCGTGGCGGCCAGGCCGGCCCCGGCCCTGGGCTCGGCTCTGGATTCCCATCCGGAACTCGAGGTCCAGCTGCTCCCCCGAGGCTGGCGGCTAAGCGGCTTTCTCTCCGGGAAACCGGGGGTGATGGTCCCGAACTCCGGGCCGCGCTGGGAGCTCGGATGAGGACGCCCTGGCCGCGGGCCACTTGGTACGCGCGCGGCAGCCGGAGCTGCCGGTGACCCGAGAAGTTCCCCCCGTGCGCCCCCCGGACGCCACCCCCAACCCCAACCCCAACCCGCACACGGACAGCCTCGCAGCCTCCAGGTCACGCACACAGGCTGTCTGCCCGGGTGCCCGGCGCTGGACCCAAACGTTCACAGGATGGTCAGGCCCCAGAGCCCCAGGCAGAGGCGGCTGGGCCGCCCGCCTTACAGCGCCGCCGTCTCGGTCCGCTGTGTGTGTGCGCCTCCTCCGCCCTCTCTGCACCCTGGTCCTGGGGTCCTGAGCTGGCAGCCTGTGGGCCAGGGCCTTGGTGTCAACCTGCCTCGTTCTAAAAACTGGGAGGATTTCTGCGTCTCCTGAGATGTGGGAGCCGCCGCCCGGGCCCTGGTTCCTCCTCGGGAGGAGTCTCATGAGCTCCTTGGCTGGAGCAGGTGCTCAGCCGGCCCCCCCAGGCCTCAGCAGCCCCCCCAGGCCTCAGCAGCCCCCCCAGGCCTCAGCAGTCCCCCACCCCCGCCCCCCGAGCCGCGCCACCTGCCTGGCCCAGCGGCTCTTGAGTCAGTGGCTCTTGCCCTGCATCGTGACCGAGTGGCCCCTGATTCTGCCTTCATTTGCCCCCCTTCTCTGTCCCTTCAGCGGTACCCCACTCTTTCCCACTGTGCTCCAGTCCTGTCCGGCTCCTATCAGGGTCAGGTAGTCAGGTCTCCTGTTGGCGATTCCTTTGGGCTGGTTGGCGATTCCCTGCGCTGTGTGTGCTGGGACTGACCTTGGGCTGAGGGCACGAGGTGTCTCCGTGTTTTCCTCACTCCACCACCTGGGGTTCTGCATGCAGGTGGTGCCAGGCATTTCTGCATGATTCATGGCGGCCTGCGAGGGGGCGCCAGGCGCACTCCAGGCCTGAGGAGGGGTGGGAGCAGTGAGGGGGACGTTGCAGCAGCGGAGGTGAGCGGCACCAGGGAGGGGGCCGGCCGGCTGACGGGCTCACAGGCTCGTTCATTTGTTCCCAGACATTTAACAAGGCCATAGGACAGGTGTGATCTTTAAGGAAATAAGAACTGAACAGCGTACATCCAGACTGGTACACAGTGGTTGCGTTTTCCTTCATCATCGGGCAGGAAGTTCCGGCCTGTGGAGCCTGCGGTGTCTGCTCTCCGCGCCCCCCTGCCCTGGAAGCGCTGGGTCCGGGAGGAGTGGAGTGAACAGTGGCTGCTGTTCTGTCAGGGCGCCTTTCCTGGCATCGGCTTCACTGGAAGCTAAAGCCACACTAAGAGAGGCCTCAGGTTTTCTGCCGCTAACGGTGTGCAGCCAGGCCCAGAGGCTGTCTGAGGTCCTTTACTCAGTATTCTGTGCGTTTGTAGCAGCTCCTTCAGGAACAGGCGGAAATGCACTGAGAGGGTTTATAAGCTGAGCTCACACATCAGTGTATCGCGGGCTGGATGCGCGTGGGGTCCCGAGAGCCCAGAGCCCAGAGCTGTGGGGAGACTCGGGCTGTGAGTGCCGGCACGGGGGGTTGGGGGCCGCTGTTCCGGGGCTCGCTGGCGTCAGACGTGGTGCGCCGGGTGGCAGTGGACCTGGACCCGCGTGCCAGTGCGGAGACCTCTGTGCCCGTGGTCCGTGGTCCCAGGCCAGTGTGCTCGGTCGTGGTCGCCTCATCTCGCTTTCAGTCTCGCTGGGCATTTGAGGCCAGTGGGTGCCGTTTCTCACGTTTCACACTGGTTCTTGCTTATGAGCCTCCAAGGCCTGTGGCCTGGACTCTGATGTGCTCCGCCTCGTGTGCTTGCAGCCCCTGCCTCCGTGCGCTGGTCCCACACCGACGTCAAAGTGCCCGACTTCTCGGACTGCCGGCGCGCCGAGGTGCAGGACAGCACCAGGCCCTCCAGGGAGAGCCGCGAGGCCCGGAAGGGCTTCTCCTACCTGCTCACCGCCACCACCACGGTGGCCGCCGCCTACACCGCCAAGAACGTCGTCTCCCAGTTCGTGTCCAGCATGAGCGCCTCCGCCGACGTGCTGGCCATGTCCAAGATCGAGATCAAGCTGTCCGACATCCCCGAGGGCAAGAACGTGGCCTTCAAGTGGCGGGGCAAGCCGCTGTTCGTGCGCCACCGCACCCCGAGGGAGGTGGAGCAGGAGGCCGCCGTGGACGTGGCCCACCTGCGGGACCCCCAGCACGACCTGGAGCGCGTCAAGAAGCCCGAGTGGGTCATCCTCATCGGCGTCTGCACGCACCTGGGCTGCGTGCCCATCGCCAACGCGGGCGACTTCGGCGGCTATTACTGCCCGTGCCATGGCTCCCACTACGACGCCTCCGGCCGCATCCGGAAGGGGCCCGCGCCCCTCAACCTCGAGGTGCCCTACTACGAGTTCACCAGCGACGACGTGGTGGTGGTGGGCTAGGCGGCCGGGCAGGCCTCCCCCGTCCCCCGAGGGCCGGCGCGGCCCGCCGGCTGCTGTGTGCGAGTGAGAGCCGCCGCGGGCCTGCGATGGGCGTGAAATGAGCGGACCTCCCGCGTCCCCTCTGCAGAAGCCGCCCAGAGCCATCGCTGGGGCTGAGGGGCTGAGGGGGGGGGTGTGTGTCTGCCGGTTCCTCCATTAAATCGCTGCTGCCAGACACGCCGTGTGCAGTCTGACTCACTGCCTGCCTTGTGCCGGGGCCACGGGTCAGACAGCCGGGATGTCAGGGACCCTCAGCTGGTCACACACACACACACACACACGCATACACACACAAGCACACACACACACACATACACACACAAGCACACACACACACAAGCACACACATGCACACACGCGCGCGCCTGGGGGGTTCCTCATGGAGATGCAGGTCCCTGGGCTCCTCCCCACAGAATCCCAGACGCCATGCGCTGGCCCCTCCGCAGCCCTCCGGACCTGCCGGCTACAAGCTGGCGACCGGAGGCTGTGCCGTGGCGGAGGCACTGCAGACACGGCTGCCAGCCCGTGTTTGGCTGGACGGGAGCCGGGACGCCCGGAGACACCATCTGCCCGCTCCCGGCTGCTCGTGCTTCTCATTTGGTCTGAAATGGGTACGGGGGGGTGGTGGTGGTGGTGGTGGTGGTGAGGACTCCGACTCCACTTCCCTGGGCTCCTGGTCAGAACTGGCCCGTGGGCTGAGCTGGTATTTTCTCTGCTGCCCACCCTCCCTCGTAGGTGTCATTCAGGCCCCCCCCCCCCGGCCTGGCCCTGGCTCTCCAGGGGGTGAGCACTGGCATGCAGCCTCCTAGTTAAGCCCCCGGGCAGGCAGGGCCCCAACTGTAACCCACAGGTCGCCCAGCGCCCAGGCGCAGCGGCAAATGAGGGCGAGGAAACGGCTTATTCAGGATAATCCTGGTTAAACCAGATAAGACTACACGTCCCTCCGGCCCTCACCCACGTGCCTGGAATTGCCGAGGCAGAGCCGGGCACGGGGGCTGCTCAGCCCTGGGGGAGGGGCACGGGGGAGCCGGGCACCAGGCCACTCAGACCCAGGGAGCTGGGCATGGGGGCGCTCACACCCGTGGAGAGGGGCACGGAGGCTGCTCAGACCTGCTCACGGATGTGGGGGTGAGCGCCCCGGGCACGGTTCTGGGGGACAGTCCTTTCCTCCCTTCCCTCCTTCACCGCCTACTGCTCATCTGCTGCCCTCCCAGCATGGGCACCTGCATCCTCCTGCCCCTGCCCTGCCCTGCCCTCCGCCCCTGCTCTGCCCGGGCCCAGCCTGCGGGGCACCAGGCAGCAATAGGCGGCCGTGCGGGCTTCCAGGGCAGCTGCGTGGCCCGGGGTAACCGGGCCCTCCTCAGCCCCGGCCACTTCCTCCTGCCCGGCCTGCCCTCGGCTGGCCTCCTGCCCCCACCATGTCCCCGTGGGGCCAGTCTTACCGAGTCATGTGTAAACCCGTCTGGAGAGGGCTCCAGCGGGCGCTGCGGGCGCAGCAAGCGGAGGGTTCGGAGATGGTCACACATCTCCCTCGATCCTGGAACCCGGTGGGGAGGGGGGGAGGGAGTCCAGATACTGGGGTTCCAGGCACCCCCTGAGGTCGGCCAGGCTCTGCCGCGTGTCCCGTCCCCAGCCCAGCCCGCAGCCCGATGCAGGCACACTCCCCCAGCCGCTCCGTGGGCTGGCTGCCCCCCCAGCCTCTCTCCCCTCAGATGTAATTGGATCAGCGTGGGAAGCATCGCGGGCTGGGCTTTCCCGCAGCTGAGGGGTGCGGCTTCCTTTCGGGGCGGGTAAGGGTGTGGGGCCACCTTCTCTCTGGTCTGCGGAGGAGAGGCAGCCGCTGAGCCCGGACACCCAGCCCAGAGGCCCACCCCGGACACACACCCCAGGGGCCCACCCCAGGGGCCCACCCCGGACACACACCCCAGAGGCCCACCCCGGACACACACCCCGGACACCCAGCCCAGAGGCCCACCCCGGACACACACCCTGGACACCCACCCCAGGGGCCCACCCCGGACACACACCCCGGACACCCAGCCCAGAGGCCCACCCCGGACACCCAGCCCAGAGGCCCACCCCGGACACACACCCCGGACACCCAGCCCAGAGGCCCACCCCGGACACACACCCCGGACACCCAGCCCAGAGGCCCACCCCGGACACACACCCCGGACACCCAGCCCAGAGGCCCACCCCGGACACCCACCCTGGACACCCACCCCAGGGGCCCACCCCGGACACACACCCCGGACACCCAGCCCAGAGGCCCACCCCGGACACCCAGCCCAGAGGCCCACCCCGGACACACACCCCGGACACCCAGCCCAGAGGCCCACCCCGGACACACACCCCAGGGGCCCACCCCGGACACCCGCCCCGGACACACACCCCAGGGGCCCACCCCAGGGGCCCACCCCGGACACACACCCCGGACACCCACCCTGGACACCCAGCCCAGAGGCCCACCCCGGACACCCACCCCAGGGGCCCACCCGGACGCACACCCCGGACACCCAGCCCAGAGGCCCACCCCGGACGCACACCCCGGACACCCACCCCAGAGGCCCACCCCGGACACCCAGCCCAGATGCAGCATTGGCCGGCTCCGCAGACTGGAGTCCTCCCGCCCCCGAATCGATGCCCGCTGTCACCTGGGGAGGGAGTCCTCCCAGGGCGGCCGGGCGGCCCCTCGGGAGGCGAATGCACAGGCTCTGCCGGTGGCTCCTCTGAACCAGGTGCCGGCCCGAGTCTGCAGCAGCCGGCTGTCCCTCGGAGGCGCCTCGGGCCGGTTTGCTTCCGGAACCGGTGATTTATCATCCCTCCTCTGTGTTCTGCTGGGTTTGCGTTTTGGGTAAATATTTGTACATCCATCAAAGCGGCGCCATTAATCCAGCCTGCCACGGGACGGGCGAGATGCATCGAGCGTTCTAGAAAGTTCCTGGGGGAAGAGCCAGGCGCAGAGCTCCGGGATCATGGCCGGCCTGCTTCCAGGCCGGGGAGAGCCGAGCCTCCGCGCCCTCCGCGCCCTCCGCGCCGAGCCAGGACCCCGCTTTGGCGCCGAAATCTCCCAGGACCGAGGGAACCCCCGGAGGCCGGTCATCGGAGGGACAGGAAGCCGCGGTTACCGCCTTCCCCGCAGGAGCCCGGCCGGGGACGCGCTCCCCGAGTGAGACCCGGTCAATGCCAGCGACTCGCGGCCACAGGCAGTGCCGCCATCCCGGGCTGTTCCCAGCGCCGCCGTGTGCCGCCCTCCCAGCTGGCCTCGGCTTCTCCCCGGCCCATGGCCACTTCGTTGTTGCTCAGCCTGCCCCGAGGATGCTTCCATTGCCTGTTAGGAAGAGGGGAAGGGAGGGGGAGAGACAGAGAAACATGGATGTGAGAGAAGCACGTCAGTGGGCTGCCTCCTGCACGCGCCCCGACCAGGGCCCAGACCAGGGAGGAGCCTGCAACCAAAGTACGCGCTTTTGACCAGAACCAAACCCGGGCCCTTCGTCCACAGGCGGATGCTCTGCCCACGGAGCCACACCTGCTGCAGAGTCTTTTATTGACGGGGCGGCGCCTTCGCCTCTGAGGAAGGGCAGTTCAGGATAGAAAGGCTTTGGCAGAGGGTGAGCATTCCTTCCTTTTAGGGTCGTGGACGCCGAGAACAGACTGAAGCTGGAGGAAAAGGGTGAAGGGAAAAGGGTGGAGAAAAGAAAACCCTCAGAGACGGGCCACAGAGCCGTGACTGAGCGGTGGAGGGGGAGGGGAGAGGGGAGAAGGTGCCGGAAGGAGACGGGACTCGGGGTGTGAGCTCACGCACAGGACAGAGATGGGGGTCACAGAGCTGCACCCTGAAACCTGCAGGAGCCCCTTCTACCTCCCCCGTGGTTCAGGGTTCCAGTTCAGGGTTCCGGTTCTGGAGAAGCCGCACACAAATGAAAGAGACTGGAAGAGCGTTAATTTGGGGATATTGGGGGCCAGGCAGAAGCCCAAGAGAGGAATACACCCCACTCTGGCCTTGCCATCCCTTTTATTAAGGTTATGGGAGACACACGTATCCCTCAGGCAGGAAATTCCCATAAGAGCCAATCAGCAAGGATTCACATAGGACGGACAGGGGGAGGCTGCTTTAACTACCAATCTCTCAGCTAAACGTGAGTGAGTAGCTCCGGCCACTCAGAGCAATTAAGGTTACAGCCTACGGATTCCCTTGCCCACGTCTCTCTGTTAGTGACAGTGATGGGTTTCCAGCAGAAACCTATATGGTTTTATTAACAAATGCCACCCCTATAAACTTTAAAAATAACTTTGCTTTGGCCTGGTTGGCACCGCACCCAGGCTCACTGGTTCCATTCCCGGTCAAGGGCACGCCCCTGGGTTGCAGGTTCGATGCCCAGCCGGGGAGGGGAGAGGAGGGGAGGGGAGGGGAGGGGAGTGGAGGGGAGGGGAAGGGAGAAGAGGGGAGGGGAGGGAAGAGATGATGAGAATCATGGATCGACTGCCTCCTGCACGCCCCTCACGGGGGATGGAGCCCACAGCCCAGGCCTGTGCCCCAACGGGGAATCGAACCCTGACCTCATAGGTTATAGGTTGATGCTCAACCACTGAGCCCCTCCAGCCGAGCACAGGGGGTTTTGGGGTTTTTCACCAGCACACGGCCTAGACCTAACCTGTGCGTCTGCTCACCTACCGGCGCCCACACAGGCGCCCACCCACCCGCAGGCCCCGCACAGGCCCCGCACAGGCCCCTCACAGGCCCCTCACAGGCGCCCGCACAAGTGCTGGCGGAGAAGGGCCCTCCCTCCGGACCGCCCCTCTGGGAAGCGCCTCTGCCTGAAGTTCTGTGCAACGTGACCGCCATCTAGTGGACGGTCATGGAAACGATGGGCCAGTCCACCGCTCAGCTGTCCCAGAAGGAAACACACCTTGTTTTATTATTTAAATTCTTTATTGTTGAAAGTATCCCATAGGTCTCCCCGCCTCCCAGAAAGGGGGCCCGGGCCTCCCCTGAGTGAGGGGTCCCAGGCCCAGCTGCACCCACGCTGAGTGATCTGTAAGTAACCCCCCCCACGCGCACGCGCACACACACACACAGATACACACATGTGCACACGCACACACACACACACTCACTTTCCCTCCAGGGACCAAGGCGCTGATGCTCACAGGCACCGGCTCTGCCGGTTGCCACGGTAACCGGCTGTCTGCCTCCCGCTAGCCTTCCGAGAGCAGATGACATGCAATATTTTCGTGTAATTGCTCCCGATGAAGAGGACTCCATTTCCTTTCGCGTGAAATAGGAGCGGGTCCTGAGGAGACGGGAGTTACAGCGCGGCCATCACAGATGGAATCAGTCTCCAGTCCCTAGGGGGAGGGAGGCTGAGAGGAATGCCCCCTGGGAGCCCCCAGCGGCCTGAGCTCAGTCTCCACACCCCCCGCCCGAGGGGGCGGCTGCCGCCCGTTCCTGGGGCCCCAGCTCCTCCCGTGCCCCTCGCTGGGTGCGGCCCGGGGACTGTGTCCCTGAGCACACAGGGGGCCGCACTCTGCCCAGGCTGAACCCCCCCCCCCTTTTTAAATTGATTTCAGAGGGAGAGAGAGAGATCAATGATGAGAAAGGATCATGGACCGGCTGCCTCCTGCACGCCCCAAACTGGGGATGGAGCCCACAACCCGGGCCTGTGCCCTGAGCGGGAATCAAACCCTGACCTCCTGGATCCTAGGTTGAAGCTCAACCCCTGAGCCACGCCGGCTGGGCCGGGGCTGAACACTATCGGCAAACATCACTTTTTTCTTCTTCTCTATTTGTTCTCGGGAACTTTACTTTTTAAATGTTTATGGAATGTGTCAGGGGGACCTTGGCTAGTAAGACGACAGGTTTCAGGTGTCCATTCCACAATCCACCATCTGTACGTCGTATTGTGTGGGCCCCACCCCGTCCTCTCCTCCGGCACCGTGTCCCCGCCCTGCTCCCGTGTTCCACTCCCATCACACGTGTGTGCCACTCCCGCTCCGAGGCCCCCGAGAACGAGGCCCGTGGATCTGTGCCTGCACCCCAGGCATGGTGGCTCCGCTGCCTGACCGGGGCTCGGGCTGGCCCTCGGCACCCGCACGCCCCTGGCCCTGGGACCAGCGGCCCAGACCCCCCTCCTCCTCACCACTCCGATGCCCAGGGCCCTCCCTGTCCTCTCTCACCGCCCTGACGGCTCTGCAACCACAGCCCGTCCCAGGAGTTCCAGTTAGAGCCGCCGCTGGAGAGAGGGAGGCTGGTCCTACAGCTCCAAGCCCTCCCTGCGCAGCCCCCACAGGGCACCCACCACCCACAGGGCACCCCTTAGGGCCCCCCAACTTGGGAAAACACAAGATCCGATTCCGTCATCAGCATCATTTTAATCGTTAGTATATTAATGTAACATTTAACCTTTTTAATATAAATATCTTCAAAGCTGGCTTTACAGGGCAGACTGCACGCTGGGTGAGAACCGGCTCAGAACACTGCTACACGATTCACGCATCCACGCCCGCCAGCTCCCCGCACTCTGCTCAGTACCTGCTCCATGTCTGCTCTCAGGATGCCACATTCACGCAGCCCGAACCCTGCGGCAGCCTGACGGGCGGCCCCCGTGGGAGAGCTGGTCCTCTGAGGGGGGTGTGCAAATCAGCTGGGGCCGGACACGCTGCCCCAGGCCAGGGGCCCAGCAGGGGGCAGCGCGGTCCAGGGGACGGCCCCCGTGCCCGCCCTGTGCTGCGAGGAGCCGGCGAGTGTGCTCACGCCCGGGCTGCGACAGGCTCCGTGCCAGAGAACCGTGTCACATGAGCCACCGCCTGCGCAGAGGGAGGTCCGTGCACCTGCAGGCAGGGTCCCCGCCCACCGGGCACGGGGCCCGGGTCCCAGCGAGCGAGGGGCAGAGGCAGCGGCGGGGCGGGCGGGCGTGTGCACGGGCGCGGTCAGAAGAGAAACGTGCCGAAGCTGCCCTTGCCGTTCCACTTGAACTGGTTCTCGGCGATGGCCACGAACATGCCCTGGGCCATGAGCGTGTCGTCCGCCTGCGTGATGCCCAGCTCGCTCAGCCGCTTCCTCCTCAGCCGCCCCTTCTGCGCGGAGGCGGCCATCAGCTCGCTGACGATCTCGCAGTTGCCTTCCGGGTGCCCGGGGGGCCCGGGCCTGGGGTGCAGCGCCCCCTTCCGGGCCAGGCCCCTCAGCAGCTCCTCGGGGTCCGCGCCCTCGGGGTCCGCCCCCTGCGGCAAAGCTCTTGGTGCCTTGTTTTCTGGGGACAAAGGAGTCCGACTGGGACCGGCCCCACGGCCGGATCCCGCCACGGAGGCGGCAGACTGGCCGCCCGAGTCCCAGCGCCGGGCCCGGCCCTCAGACACGGGCCCGGAGCCCCACAGGGTGTCCCTGAGCCCGATGGGCACCTCTCACCCACGGCCCCTCCCGTCCCGCCGCCCTCTCCCGGCACCGCCAGGAGCTCGCTGGCGCCCGGACGCTGGCCGGGCTGTGATGTCGACTGTTGAAGGGCCCATGGGTCGGGTCGGGCCAGAGGTGACTAATGAGTGGGCCTTCGGAGCCAGCGGGTGTGGGCCTAACCCCACGGCCCCACGGAGAAGGAAGCAGGAAGAGGGATTCGCCGAGGGAGGTCCCTGCTGCCGAGCCGGCTGGGCGGCCGCCCTGCGACTGGCGGAGCGTGACCCCAGCCAGCAGCCAACATAGATGGAGGCTTCAGGCCTGACCCTCAGGACACGGTCTGCCAACAGGAACCAGCTCAGAGAGCCTCCCCCCGTCACAGCCCTCGGCTGACACCTCACAGCGGCCTTGTGAGACCCTCAGCCACACCCCTACATTCTGACCTCCAGAACCCCGGGCCACGCCCCTGCACTGACCTCCAGAGCCCCGGGCCATGCCCCCTGCACTCTGACCTCCAGAACCCCGGGCCACGCCCCCTGCACTCTGACCTCCAGAACCCTGGGCCACGCCCCCTGCACTCTGACCTGCAGAACCCCGGGCCACGCCCCCTGCACTCTGACCTGCAGAACCCCGGGCCACGCCCCCTGCACTCTGACCTGCAGAACCCGGGCCACGCCCCCTGCACGCTGACCTGCAGAGCCCTGAGGACACAGCACTCCCTGCAGGCCAAGCTCCACCCTCCTCCCAGCTGAGAAACGCAGGATGGGCTCAGGCTGGCCTCCATCACGTCCGCTGGGCCAGCCCCTCGCTGCCCGGACAGACAGCCAGCGCAGGAGCTCGGGAGGCGCTGGGCGGGCGGCCTACCGTCGGCTCCGCCCTGGGCGTCCTCCTGCAGGTCGGAGAAGATCCTCGGCTTCACCAGGACGACGCCGTAGCCCTCGTTGTTGTGGATGATGTTGTTCACCAGGGAGATCTTGGGGAGGTCGTAGTGCTCATCCAGGAAGTCCTGTGACAACGACACAGGTGTGTGAATGCGGTCCGGCCAGCCGCCTGCCTACTCAACCCCGAAGCAGGAAGGGGGCGCACAGCGGGAGCCAGCGAGGGCCACAGCCCGGCCTCAGGCCGCACACAGGCCTCCGAGAGCCCTGCACCGGTGTCTGCAGCCCGAACCCCGCTCTGTTCCCGCCCTCCCAACGGGGCCCAGGGCCAGGGACGCCGGGGGCGGGCTCACCTTGATGAGGATGCCCTCCCGGCAGTGGTGGATCCCGCTGTCGCTCAGGGAACACGTGCTGCCGGGGTAGATCTCCACGCCGGCCCCCTAGACGGCAAGGCACCGGCCCTTTGTGAAGGCGGGACCGCGGGAGGGCCCTCCGCCATCTCTTACCTCTGACAGCGAGTGCAGAGTGCAAGGAGAAAGCTTTCCTAGAAAACGTATGTTTCTAGTGACGCTGCCCCTGCTCCACTGCCAGGAAGCGGGCCACCATTCATCACTCAGAGACCACACACTCACACATACATGCACGCACGCACGCACGCACACACGTGTGTGCACACAGCACTGCCCTTCACTACTGTTCCGCTCTCACTCTGGACAAATCCGCTTTCTGATTCTATTAATTGATCAATCAATCAGCAGCATGGGACCATATCAAAGAATGCAGAAGACACATCTTCAAAAGGAAACACACGTTCATTACAGAAATTCTCAGAAAACAGAAACAGAATCCCTCAACGTGGTCCAGAACCGCTGCAGGAACCGCTCACCTCGCTCGGACGGCACTGAAGGAGCACAGCCCAGCACGGCCCCTCCCCACCCAGCGCGGGGGCTGCCCCTTCCCCCGGCCTGTAGCCCCGCCCCCGCCCACGGGAGCACGCCCCCTGGCCCCGCCCCCTGACCCCGCCCCGCGGGAGCACGCACCTTGGCGCCGCACAGGTCCGAGGCCCGCATGACCAGCTCCGCGGAGGTGCGCACCGTCACGCCGGTGGTCTCGCACTGCAGCACGCAGTTCTCCACGGTGGTCCTGCCGCGGTGGACGACTGCGGGGCACGGACACGCTCAGGCTGGGATGGGCTCCGCAGGCCGCACGCTGAGTACGTGACTGACCAGCCTCCCGGGGCCCGGGGCTCCCCGTCTGACCTGGGGCTCCCCGGCTGACCTCCCGGGGCCCGGGGCTCCCGGGCTGCCTGCGGGGGGCGGGGGGAAGGGTCCAGGGCTCCCGGGCTGACCTCCCGGCTCCCCGGCTGCCTGCGGGGCCGTGGCGCGAAGCCTCACCCAGGATGCCCTCCACGGCGTCGTGCTGGACGAACTTCAGGCAGGAGATCCTCACGTCGGCGCCCGAGCAGTCCACGAAGGTGTCGCCCTCGCCCCGCTTCTCTATGACGATGTCGTCGGGCAGCCCGTACCCTGGGGAGGAGCGCGCTGCTGGCGGCGGCGGAGCACAAACTCCGACAGACGCCCCACGGTCCGCGGCCGCCCACACCCCGGCTCCCCGGGCCAGAGCAGACACAGCCTAATGACCTCAACGCCCCCGCCAGAGCCGCCGCCAGCCCCGCAGCCCAGCACGAAGCCTGCTGTGACCTGGCCGATCCGCCGCTCCCGATTCTGTTCTAACACAACGAGGTCGCAGAGCCGGATTATCGGATGTCGCATCCTCTTACACAGGCCCACGCCAACCTGACACGCAGTGGCTGCAGTGTCGGCCAGGCACTGAGGGCCTCGGGTTCGATTTCCTGAGGTCAATTTTTTTTAAAAATAAGCTAAACTTTCTTAAATAATGCACCTATTTACCCACAACTTTTATGGACTAAGAATAAGCAACACGTAAAATAATGCTTTTTAAAATGTACTTTTAAAGTAGATTGCTGGGACATTTTTCATTCTAGAAACCAGATTTCCTGCCCATGCACCTCTTGCAATCTGGAAAGCAGTCTTTCCTTACTGTTAATCCTCACCCAAGGGTATTGTCCCAGGGATCTTTTTAGAGCGTGGAAGGCAGGGAAGAGGAGAGCGAGCGAGCAGGAGGGAGACGTGGATGTGAATCAGTGACTGGTTTTCACACAAGCGCCTTGGATCGACCCTACAACCGGGTGTGTGCCCCAGACTGGAAATGGAGCCCGTGATCCTTTGGGTCATGGGCTGAGCTCTAACCACTGACCCACCCTGGCCAGTGCCCGTGGCCATTTCCTCTCCGCATGAACTCCAACTCTCGAGCCCACAGAGAACACCCCCTGTGGCTCAGACACTGGGTCGGTCCTTCCTGTGTGAAACCGAGGGGCTGGCACCACATTCCCTCCGGCGCCGCGTCCACGAGGCAGGTCCCCATCCCTGAGGCCACCCGCTCACCTTCCAGCTCGATGGAGTCCGCGATGGAGATGGCGCCCTGCACCACGTAGCGGCCGGGACAGACGATCACCCTGTCACCCTCGTAGCAGGCGCCGATGGCCCCCAGCGGGTCCCTGTGGAACTGGAGGGCAGCAAGGACAGTGGGTCCGGGGGTCTCTGGGTCCCACATTCCCTCTGAAGGGGTCCCGCAGACGGAGCGCCCTGAGCCGTCCCGCCCGGCACAGAGCCAGCGGGGCAGCCCTGGACCCCGTGTCCTCACCTGGACCCCCGTGTCCTCACCTGGACCCCGTGTCCTCACCTGGACCCCGTGTCCTCACCTGGACCTCCGTGTCCTCCGCGCCCGGCTCCTGGCACAGCCGGTCCCTGAGCAGGGCCTGCAGCAGCCCCGTCACCATGGTGGAGGACACCACGTGGGTGACCCTCTGGCCACGCGGCCGGGCGCCCTTTGCTTGGACGTTAGAATTCTTCTGGTAACCGAACACGTACCTGGGGGAAGCGGGGAGCTGTGAGCGGCACGGCCTGCAGAAAGGAAGCCGGAGGCCCGCCCCGTGTGGCCCAGTGGCTGAGTGTCGACCTATGAACCAGGAGGTCACGGTCCGATTCCCGGTTGGGACGCATGCCCAGGTTGCGGGTTCGATCCCCAGTGTGGGACGTGCAGGAGGCGGCCGACCCGTGATTCCCTCTCATCAGTGATGTCTCCCTCTCCCTCTCCCTTCCTCTCTGACACCAATAAAATCCTCTTTTTTAAAAGCCAAGAAGCCAGGCAGGGGTGGCGAGGGGCCCACACCTCAGCAGCGGGTTCTCGATCAGCTTCAGCTTCTGCTTGAGCTGCTCCAGCTCCGAGTACAGCTCCAGGCCCTGCACCATGGAGACGTTCTCCTGCTCCGAGTCCGCGCCGCAGGCCGACAGGCTGCTCCGCAGGTCCAGGAAGCTGCGGTAGACGCCCTCGCCGCGCGCCAGCAGGCCGCGGTAGTCGGCCACCAGGCCCGAGGGCACGCGGCCCTCCAGGATGTCATAGTGCCTGCACGTTCGACAGCGGCTGAGCCCTCCCCGTGGCCGCGTCCGGCCACGGGGCTGGCCACGCACTCAGCCCAGGGACACACTTCCTGCGGGGCGGGGGCGGGGGCGGGCAAGGCTGAGCCGTCCCTCGGAAGTGGAGCCGCTGAGTAAATTATCTTCTATCAGAGCCAAAACCTTAATGAATGCGTGGATTTCTGCACACCTGCGGCCTATCTCTGTCCGGGTCCCCGGAGCTCACATACACGCAGGTGGGGTTAACCCACGGGTCAAATTAAACCAGGGGTCAAGTTCAAGGTCGGACGGACACTCACAGTCTGAGCCGAGGCTCCACGCAGCGGACAAAGTAGTCGTACTCGTCCTCCTCCTCCTCGTCCCAGCTCCTCCAGATGTGCTGGTAGAAAAACCTGAAGCGGAGACCATGCCACTGAGTTCAACCCTGGCTCCGGGCGGGGGGAGAGCGAGGGAAACCCGCAGCCCATCCCCCGCGGGAGGACGGGGGCTGCCGCACGTGGGGTCGAGGCCACCCCCGCTGAGCGGCCTCGGCGAGGGCGCCCCGGGACCTGGCCTCACGTCCGCCTGTGGGGGGGGGGGGGGCTCCCGCCGCGCCGCCCACCTGACGTGCTCCACGGCCAGCGCCGTCTGGTCCAGGACCCCGGAGCCGTCGAACACCACCCACAGCTCCCGCAGGGGCAGCCGCCAGCCCTTCAGCTCCAGGAGCTCCCGCACGCACTCGGCCGTGAAGGTGCCTGTGCGCGCCTCGCACAGGCAGGGCTCCGCCAGCCGCACGGCGGCCTCCAGGGCCGCGCAGTCCACGTCCGTGACCTCCGAGGGAAAACGAGGGCTGACCCCACGGACCGCAGGGAGCAGGCCCGCCCAGCACTGCCCGGGGCTGGTGTGTGTAACAGGAGACGGAGCGGAGAGCCTGCGGCCCTCACTCAGAGGACGAACAGACCGGCCTGGCGCAGGCCCACATGGGACTGACAGCGAGGGAGGAAACTGACCGACGAGACGGTGACAGTATGGGGCAGAGGCTGACTAGCAGGAAAGGAAGCCGCTTGGGAGCCGCGATGGGAAGGGGGGACGGCAGCAGCCCTCTGAAGAGTGGGAGGTGCAAAGGGCCTGTGGCAGAGACCAGCTCGGCAGCTGCTGGTGCAGAAAGGCAGAGTTTCCTGCTGGATCCAGAGGAAGTAAAGGGCAGCGGGTAGAGGGGACAGGATGGGGGGGGGGGAGGCAAGGCGATCAGGAGCGAAGCACATAGGAAGGGGCCTGCAGGGGCGAGTAGATGGGAAAGACAGACTGGTTTCAATCGGTTCATCAACCTTAATTAGGAGCCGGGCTTTGGCCGTGACTGCGTGAAGGGAAGTGCTTTCAGAAGAGGCACACGGAGCTCAGCGAAGGAGTGAATTACCTCCACCAGCACCTCGAACACGCTGGTGTGCCAGACCGCCCGCCACCCCGACGGTTCCAGCACCTTCTCCAGGAACTCGGCCGTGAACTCCCGCACCTCCGAGGCCTTGCAGTCGGCTGCAGAGAGGAAGCACGGAGGGCCCTGAGGCTGCGCCCGGCGGGGGCGGGCGGCCACGCACACAGGCCCGCACCACACCCAGGGGGTCCAGGGCCCATTGGGGGGCCGAGCCAGACGGCGCCGGGACACGGAGGCTCACCGAGGATATAGTCCTGGTAGGCCCGGAAGCGCTCGTAGGGCGGGAGGTGGCCCGTCTGGAACAGTTCCGGGAAGCAGGTCTCCCCCTGCAGCACGAAGCGGGGTAACCGGGACCCCGGGCTGTCCTGCCGGTTGCAGTCGCTGCTCGCATCGCCGTCTGGGGGCGAACCTGAAGGAACTGCCCGCGTCAGCGGAGCGGCCGGGCCTCGGGGTTCAGACCGCTTCCCTCCCTCGCCCCGCTCAGCGCCCACAGCCACACGCCCCCCTCCCCTCGCTGCACTGAAGGGAAGCACACCCCAAACCCCAAGTTCACCTCCCGGGCCTGGCCTGTTTCTGAGCTTCCCCAGGAGGCGCCTGCCACTGAATTAAGTGGAGGTCACCCGAGGTCTCGTAGATGATAGATTTATATCTATCGGCTGAGCCGTGGCTGAGGGGGAGGGGGCCGAGCGGGCCTCGGTGTGAGCCGGGGCCAAAGGGGAGGGAGGGCCGGCGAGGGCCTGGGTGCTGTGAGCCAGATGGTGACGGATCTCTGAACGCATAATCATCTGGCCACTCCGTGCCTAGCCTATAGAATAAAAGGCTAATTAATATGCAAATTGTCCTCTCGACCTGGAGTTCCACCAGCAGGCAGGCTGGCCAACCGCCCATGTCCCCTCCCGGTGGCCAGGCTGGCCGGCCCCTCCCATGCACGAATTCATGCACCGGGCCTCCACTATATACACACACGGAGTGGCCAGGTTATTATGCGTTCACAGATCGTAATAACCTGGCCACTCCGTATATACGTGTCTGTAATTTTTCATGTTTTGTTTTAGATTTCAGAGAGGCTGCCTTCAGGCAGAGACCGTTCACTAAAGCGGTCCTATGCCTGGGCGTGGCTGCACGGCGTGACCTGCCCAGCGAGGAGCCTATGATCCCTCACAGAGCCCCTTCCTCACCCACAGGCGCTCCCGGGGGGATGGGGGGGTGCAGGGGGAGGGAGGAGGGAGGAGGGAGGAGGGAGGTGGAGGTGGGAGGTGGAGGCGTCAGTGCCCACAGTGCTTACACACACACCTGCAGGGCTCCCAGGCCCTTCTGAAAGCTCCCTTTCCCACCCTCCCTGCGCCTCCGCCCTCGGAGGCCCCGCAGCTGGCCCCGCAGCTGTCCCCGCAGCTGTCCCGAGGGGGAAGCCGAAACCCGGGACTTGCACAGGTGGGGGGGAGGGGGGAGTGGTGGTAGAGGTCCACTTCCTTTGCTCCCTCTGGGGTCTCCCCATCCCAGTCCCACAGCTGCCAGCGGGAGGCGGACATAGTGGGGCCTCCCTGGGGGGCAGGGGGCCGGTGCTGGGTGCTGGGCTGTAGCCGAGGGGGAGGGGACCGCGGGGGAGGGGGGCCCCATGGGGCCTGGGTGCTGGGTGCCACCTGCCTGCGGTGCTGTGAGCCGTGACCGAGGGGGAGGGGCGGCGAGCAGTGACCTGGGTGCTGGGTGCTGGGCTGTAGCCGAGGGGCAGGGGGGCCGAGCGGGCCTGGGTGCCGGGTGCCGCCCGCCCGCAGGCCCGGGCCGGGCCGGGGTCGCTCCGCGCTCGGAGGGCAGCGGCCGGGCGCGACACGCCCGGGGCCGCCACGCCCGGGGCCGCCACGCCCGGCGCCGCCACGCCCGGGGCCGCCACGCCCGGGGCCGCCACGCCCGGGGCCCACACGCCCGGGCCCGCCACGCCCGGGCCGGACACGCAGGCGCCGGGCCGGGGCCTCGCAGACCCGCCGGGCGGGCGCCCCGGGCCCTCGCCCCGCCGCCGCCCGCACTCACCTTCCTCCGGGGCCGCCTCCCCGGCCGCGCCGCCCGCGCTCCCGGGCCCCGGCGCCGGCGCCTCGGGCCGCAGCCCCAGCCCCGCCAGCAGCTCGTCAGCCATTTCAAATGTGCGCGGGCGCCGCCGCCGGCTGCCTGAGCGCGCGGCGCCCCTGATTGGACGGCAGCCGCGGCGCCCGGGCCAATCAGAGGGGAGCTTGCGTGCCCGCCCGCCCCCAGCCGGCAGGAGCCCGCCCTCTCCAGGCGCCTCCAGCCCCGGGCGGCGCCTGGGCGCCACCTACTGGCCAGGCGGTCCGCCGTCCTCCGCCCAGCTCTGGGCAGAACACGCTGAAATGGGTCATCCTTTGGGATGATTTCCAAAAGGCTAAGGGCCGTTCGCAGTCATGGGGCGAAGCAGAAAAGGCATCGGGTGACAATAAACACTGTAGTTGGCCTCCTCCGTGCGGTGACTGGGCTTCACCCGGCCACCCTTTCACCTCCAGCCCCCTCCGCCCGCTCCTTCACCCACTCAGACGCACACATTTGGACATACGTCCAATTAAATGTACGAAACGTGTGTTTTGCCCACATTTACCATCAAAGCCAAGTACAATCTCCAATGACACTAGCGGTTGAACACTGTGCACAGGACACGCCCTGCACGCTCTGCCTGCACCCTCATTCAAGATTCAAAAACTGGTTTGGCTCAGTGGATAGAGCGTCGGCCTGCGGACTGAGGGGTCCTGGGTTCGATTCCGGTCAAGGGCATGTACATTGGTTGTGGGCACATCCCCGGTGGGAGGTGTGCAGGAGGCAACTGGTCGATGTTTCTCTCTCATCGACGTTTCTCTCTATACCTCTTCCTTCCCCTCTGTGGAAAATCAATAAAATACATTAAAAAACAAACAAACAAAAACCCTTCCCGAGGCCAGGAATACAGATGAGGAAACAGTCACCAAGAAGAAAAGTAAAGAAAATAAAAACACAAAAAGGTAAGTAGCACCCAGTTTAACCCAGCACAGCGAGCATCAGAAGCAGCCCAACCCCAGCAGCGCCCGGAGGCTGTGGGGGCCAGGAGAGGCCAGTGACAGCAGGGCCGCCAGGAGGCCAGGTGTGAGGAGGAGGAGCCTGCGGTGCCGGGCTCAGCAGGCTTTGCATCCACAGCACCTGCTGGCTCCCTTATGAGTCAGAATGAAAGAAGAGTCCGGACTGTCAATAGCAACTTTATTCTCACCGGTGCAAAAAAAAAAAAAAAAAAAAAAAAATTAATTCTGATAATGGTCTGATCTATCTCCCCCTAAATTTACATGGAAGGTTATACATAAATTACATAGATCACAAATTTTCTATTTTATACTATTTAGAACAAAATTATTTTGATAAATATGTCAAGAGAACCACATAGGTTCTTACTGGATGGCTGAGCCCCAATATGCAAAATATAGCTTCCGGTTGGACCATGGTGCTTTAGATCCTCACTCATGCATTAATATGTTCTAGTTTTAGGGAAAATTCTATACAGGGCCTCACCCTGCACGTCGGGAGGAGCCCGGCTGAACTTCACATACAGTATTCCTTTCGTCTACCTCACACTGGACTAGCGGACAGAGACAGCCTTCGGCCGGGTTAGTGCTCCCAGTGGTGAGGAAATGCACAGCCAACATGGGACGGGGCGGGACAGGGAGGGGGAGGAGGGCTTCATCAGTAGCCGAGAGTGGTTTCTGGATAACTCTGTTTTGTTTTTTTACAAGCACGGTAATTTTGAATAGCAAATCATGCCAGTTGGGTGATGAGCCGACCTGCACACTTATGAAGTGAATAACTTTATTAAGGTCTTGGAGGTGAGTGTCCGGAGGCGCCGGTCACACGTCACAGGGGAGAGACGAGGCCTACTGCAGCGTTCTGAAGGCACAATCGAGGGAGGCGGCCGCAGACCGCACCCTGGCTGTGCGAGGCGGCGCCCTCACAGGACGAGGCCCTCGTAGATGGGCCCCTCGGACTCCGGGGACTCCCTCCGCAGGCGCAGGTGCTCCAGCGTGTTGTGGAAGTGCTTGTTGATCTGCTCCGTCTCCTCGCTGGACTCCAGGTTGGGGAGGTCCTCTCGGATCTTCTGGATAAGCTGGTTCAAAACCTGAATTGTGACCTGCAAGCAACGTGCACACGCTCACGACCCAGCACCACGGCACAGGGTCAAAGGGCCTTAATGAGAACATTCTGAGGAGCCCGTGTTCCTCGCACCAATCACCAGAGTGATCATGAAAAGAAAAAAGAGATGAGAGCAGGGCTCGTGCTGAAGCTACAACTATGAGCTAGTCATAAAAAAAAAGGGGGGGGAGGGGAGTAATTAAAAAATACAGAGCCTCATGAACCAGTAAGAGAACAGCAGCATTCAGGATTTAACTACAAACCCTCACTCCTCCTTCGGGAATCATTCCAGCTTGTACGTGATGACAAGGCAGCCTCCTAGGTAAGTCGTTTGGTGTCTTAGGCAGTGGCTATTTTTAAAAAACATCCCTCAGCAAACGCAATGCCCGCATGGACAGAGCGGGGTTTGGAGACTCAGAGCCCAGCAGGTGGACTTGCACGGTGTCAGGACGTACCCGCGCACGGGCGGAGGGCACTCACCGCGTCGTTCTCCTTCTCGTAGAAGTAGATGTATCTGTTGAGGATCTCTATGAAGAGCTGCACCTGCAGCGAGGGGTCCATGCACTGGTTGGCGATCTTCAGGGCTTTCTTCAGGCACTCCATGACCCTCTTGCCGCCGTGCAGCTGAATGGGGGGGGGTGGTGTTAATGAGATCAATGTTTCACGAACATCCAGCCCACAGGGACATACACACAGCTCTATGCGCCTTGCTCATGTTCTGGAGGACAAAAGGAATCTAATCTTCCTTGTCTAAAGCACGCAGCTACGTTTTAAAGCAAACAGGTCCCCTGCTTTGCGTGCTTATGTTTATATTCACACACAGCACACTCGGAGATGTTGTGGGCTAGGTTCCAGACCACAATAAAGCGAGCGTTGCAGTAAAAAGGAGCTGCGTCAGCCTCCTCAGCAGCCACTAATGATAAGAGGAGGCAGAGGGAGAGAGGGAGACGGGATGACCGGTGGGCGGAGCAGTCAGCGCACACAGCAATCCCGGTCCCAATACACGGTGCAGGGCAGGACACCCCGACAGGACAGCAGGACACCACGAGCACAGGTCACGCCACCAAGTGTGAGGTCAGGAACAGGCCTGACACAGGGAGCACAGAGACTATGAGACACGAGGGGCCACGTGCCGCGGAAACAGCGCCACCGGCGCTACCATGGGCTGGACGCGCTCTGCCGAGCCAGCAGCCCGCACTGAGCAGGCGGGCCTGAAGGCAGCAGCATCACCCCGCGATTGTCAGTCTCTAAGCGGAAGCAGGCGTCCCGCAGGATGTCGCTCTATACATTCCTTTCCTTCCGACTCCTTCACCGGAGCAGTGTTCCTGTTCCCGGTGCGGCTGCCTGGCCTCCAGCGCCTCGCCTCCAGGCACAGCCCGCCACCCGCGCTCGCTCCCTCCGGCAGCGGCCCAGGCCTCACCTCCTCCCCGTTCTTGTCGGTGTTCCTGCCCGGCCAGAAGAGGTGGGCGCAGGTGCTCACGGCGCGGCCCTGGTCCGGCTTCTTCAGGAGCTTGGAGGCGGCGAGCGCGCACTGCGTCCTCAGCGGCTCGTGGTTCTCCTCGCCGAAGCACTTCATCCTCTCGAACGTGCCGATGATCAGCGTGATGGCCGCCAGCTGGGCCTTGGAGTCACTGATCTCGTCCTCGTACAGGGAGAACGCCTGGTGGGCAGAGCGGGGGCCTGCAGGTACCAGTCATGCCCGCGGGCACTGCCCATGCAGGTCCCACCACACCCCGCCCTCCGGGAGGCCTCCCGCAGGCCCGGATGGGCGCGTGCGGCCGGGAGAGGCAGGAGGCAGCGGGATGCTGACCGGCTGCAGCAGGAAGGCGGTCTCAGCTCCTGCTTAGCCCAGGCCTCCCCGTCCGAAGGGGCGAAGGACTTTTCCCAAGAAGTTCTGCCGGGACCCGTGGGAACCCTGAGGCTCACCAGCACCCGTAACTGAGGGTCTCCCTCTCCAAACGGTCCCTGTGGCCGCAGCACTAAGGTCCCAAGCTGAGGAAGGGAGGGGGCAGCCTGGCACCACCCAGGCAGCTGAACCAGAGGGGGCGGCTCTTCACCTGGGACATGAACTCATACGCGACTGTCTCGTGGTTCTCAAAGCCGATCTCGCCGGCCGCCAGGGCGCCCTGCAGGAACAGCCGCAGCGGCAGCTCCGCCAGCTCGGCCTTGATCAGCGCGCTGATGGTCTGGTGGGCGAAGGAGAAGATCTTCTGGCACTTCTTCTCCCACTTGTCGTCCTGCAACACGAAGCCGGGCTGCTTACCACAGGTCCGGTGGGCGCGCTCCAGACACTCACTGAACGTGAGCCTCCAGGCACACCGAGCCCCAGCCTCAGCAGTTTCCTCACCGCCCTCCCAGCTCCCAGTGCACTCTACACACTAGGCATCTGTTCTCTCTCTTCAGAAAGGCAACACACGCCAAATTTGGGCAAAATGAGAAAAATAAACAGAAAAAGATTTGTGAAAATTAAAACTATCCCTAAATCTATTGCCAGCAATAATCCCTGATAACACTTTCTTTCTTCTTGGCAAATGTAAGGTGATGGGGACCCTGTACACAGTCCTGCTTTCTGCTTTACAGCAGCTCATAAAGGATGGGTCCGGCCCTACCTGGTGGGCTCAGCAGAGAAAGCGTCAGCTTGTGGACTGAAGGGTCTCAGGTTCAATTCCCGTCAAGGGTTCATGCCTGGGATGTGGGCTCAATCCCCAGTAGGGGGCGTGCAGGAGGCAGTCGACCAATGATTCTCATCATTGATGTTCCTCCCTCTCTCTCTCTCTCTCTCTCTCTCTCTGAGTTCAGTAAAAATGTATTTTAACAATAAAAATTGAAAAAATTAAAAAGGAAGCAAACAGCCCACAATGGGTCCAACCCCGCGACGCCTCGATGGGGGCTCCTGGAGAGGGGACGGGGCCGGCCTCCCGGGGAGAGCTGCCCCACCTACATGCCTGCAGCCTGCCCGTGTGGCCGCTACGCCGCGGAGCCTGGGCCGCGCAGCCGCCCTGTCAGACTGAAGACCGAGGCAGCTGGGTAGGACTCGGGTCTCAAAGGGAACTTCCTACACGGGGCTGCTCCGAGCACACACTTAGCCCAGCTGAGCTCTCACTTCCGCGCCCTCGGCCGGTGCCCGATCTGCCAGCATCACTGGGGGGGCGGGAGAACGAGCCGCTGTCTGCTCGTGCAGTGGCTGTTCCTATAGAAACGCACTAAGTGCACACGGGGGGGGGGGCACACTGAGACGCACACCCACCACTTTGGAGTTCTGCTTGTAGCGGAAGGCCAGCTGGTAGGCGGCGAACACCAGGGGCGGCAGCGTGAAGCGGATCCGCTGGTTCCCACCAGCTCCGAAGTGTTTCCGTGCCGTGTTTAAAATCTGGTGAAACACCCGCAATGCCCTCAGCCCTCTCTGCACCGGGACTCCCCACTGTCCTAGCACAGGCAGCACTGGGCCTCTCACGGCTGCAGCCCCACCGCGGGCCCACACACCTCTGACTCGCAGGCGTGTCACCCGACGCACAGGAACCCCACCTCACAGATGGGGCTCGGAGAGGCTGCAGGCCACCGTCAGGGCAGAGGGCTGCACAGCCTCCCTGAGTGCGTGCAGGAAGCACAGTGCCGGGAGAGGCGCTAAGGAGACTCCATCCCATTCCAATGTGGCAGCACCACTCACACCTGCAAACCTGACTACAGGATTGCTCTTATACTTTAAAGCAGCAGTTAAAAGGATATGGACGTGGAAGGATTCCTAGACACCCAACGAGGGAAGACTTAAGAAGTCTTCAAAAGGAGCCGAGCTCCAGACACTACAAACGATGTTTATCCGGAGAGCAAAGTCTACGGACTCCACTTCTTCTCTCATCAGCCGCCGTTCTTTCCAACCCTCCTCCGGCCCGCTGTGTGACCCGAGAGCCACGCCTGTGCCTGCTTCCCGGGCTCGCAGGGCGCAGGGAGAGTGGCTCGTACCAGGTACTGCTGGTCGGGGTCCTCGGACCGCAGGAGGTGGATGAACCTGCCCACGAGGCTCTGCTCGTCGGCAAAGTCCTCGGGGTCAGGGTCCTCCGCGGGCTGATCGGGCTGGTCCTGGATCAGCGTGGAGACGAGGTTCATTATGGCGTCCACCTGCACGTGAGACAGAGACCGGGTGAAGCCATCGCCAGGAAAAGCTGCTGTCAAGCTTTCCAGTGGGCGGTCCCCCAGCACCCACAATGCACTTCGTCCCAGAAGCAAGGATGGGCAAGCGGCAGCGCGGGCTCCTCCCTCGTGCCCCTCCACCCCGTGACCGCGGAGAGCCACTCGCGCCGCGGCGGGCGCCGGCCCACCTGGTCCTGGGAGACGATCTCGGTGCTGCAGTCCAGCACGTTGCTGAGCACGTAGCAGCTCATGCTCTTGCGGGACTCGTAGTCGAAGTACTCGAAGAGCGGGTGGAAGTGCCTCAGCTTCAGCACCGTCAGCACGTTGTTGTAGGCGTCCACGGGGATCTTCAGGAGCCTGGTGAGCTCCTTGGAGACGGCGCTGCTGGTGGCAATGCTGGAAGGCAGGGAAGGGGCGGCCTCACTGCGCAGGGCCAGCTCCCGCACAGGCGGCGGCGCGCACGGCCGTCTGCAGCTCTCACCGGCGCAGAGGGGCGCCGGCCCGGCCTCCGCCCCACGCCTCCGCCCCCCTCCCGGGACGCCCCCCTCCCGGGACGCCCCCCTCCCGGGACGCCCTCCTCCAGGGACGCCCTCCTGACGTGTCTTCACTCCTAACGTCCTGGTGACACAATGGCCTCAGAATGCCGGCTGCGGAGCCGGAGGCTAATGACTGTCTGTGATCCGCCGTTTCTCAGGGAGGGTGGGAGCGGCGGTCAGTGCTGTGAGCACCACAGAGGCAAGTGGGAGGAAAACCAGGCCAAACGAGCAGGTCCACTGACAGGAGGACTGCCAACTCCCGCTTCTGCGTCAGACGGCGGGGACTCAGGACAAGCGGCTGGGTTTCAGGCAGCAGCCTGTGGAGCTTTGGTGGAGACGGAGGGGCAGCGGCCGCTGAGAAAATTTTAGGGATCGGGATTTCTAAGTCTTCATTTTACCTAATTTTACTTTAAAATTCACTTAGTAAGGGAAGATACAGAGACATCAGTGTTAGCATTCAAGATCTGAAATGCTTGTCAGGTCACACACAAAAAGGCCCAGATCCAAGGGAAGAGGGGCCAGGAAGAGGTGCAAGAAGAGCAACCCTCCTGCTGCAGTGAGCCCCCGGAGGCGGAGGGAGACCCCCGGAGGCGGAGGGAGGCCCCCGGAGGCGGAGGGAGGCCCCCGGAGGCGGAGGGAGGCCCCCGGAGGCGGAGGGAGACCCCTGGAGGCGGAGGGAGGCCCCCGGAGGCGGAGGGAGGCCCCTGGAGGCCGAGGCATGAGGTGGAACACAGGTGGAACAGTGATACAGAGTGAGGGCCAGCTGGACCCACCTCAGCAAGAGGGCGGGACAGGAAGGGACCACTGAGCAAGACAAAGGGCTCGTAAGTGCCCACCGTGGCCACTAGAGGGTGCCGCAGGCCTGGCCGAGCTCCGCTAAAGCGGCTCTTCAGTCTTCTCTCCTCGATGGCATCGAAGCCCAAAACAGGGGATCGCAAACCTCCTGAAGGTCCACACCTGACATCCGGCACACGCCTCCTTTCCCAGCCCATCCACTGCTCGGAACCCCTTCCTCCTCGGGGAGCTGCTGCTTGGCAGTCTCCCTCGGGGTAAGAACGAGCTTGTTGGACTTACTGCTCCAGGTTGAGCTTGTTGAAGATCTCCACCGTGGTCTCCAGCACCTTGTCCACGTAGTCCACACGGTCCGGGTAGCACTTCATCGCCAGGTTGATGAGCGACACTTGTAGCGACACAACGTCCTCCGAGGGCATGTCCTGTCTGGACTGCGGGGGGAGAGCGTGGGTTCGTCAGTCAGTCAGTCAGTCAGTCAGTCAGTCGCTCGGGGCCTCCCTCCCGCCTGGGGCTCGGGCCGGCCGGCCCCGCACCCACCTGGATCACGGTGGCCACCTGCTGGGAGAAGATGTCGAAGAGCTTGATGTCGGCGGGGATGCCGGGCCCATCCTCACGGTGCGCGAACAGCGCCAACCTGGGGCAGGTGGCCTGGTGAGGGTGGGCGGGCCCCAGAGGACAGGCCCGCCTCGCGCCTGCCCCCCTCCTGCGGGGGCTTTCTCCGGGAGCAGGAGGGGCTGGAAAAGGATGGCTGCAGCCGACACGTCCGCACTCCCTTTCACCTAAAGTCTGCCGGGAAGCCCTACTTCCTGCAATCCCACTTCTCCCAAACGTGGTGCCATACAGAGACGGGTTCTCAACAGGCCAATGCTGCCAAACTCTCCGAAGCCTGCTTAGCAGATACGGTCAGAAATGCATTAAGGAGATGGATGTATTCACAGAAAGATTATAAAGGACAATCTTTAGCCCGGCCGGTGTGGCTCAGTGGTTGTGCATTGACCTGTGAACAGGAGGTCACGGTAAGATTCCTAGCTAGGGCTCCCTTCCCAGTGGAGGGTGTGCAGGAGGCAGTCGATCAACGACTCTCTCTCATCGCTGATGTTTCCTCTCTCTCCCCCTCACCCTTCCTCTCTGACATCAATAAAAGGATATTTCTATTTGTGTATGTTATCTCATGCTTCTGCACAATTAAACGCGAAACCTCTTTCCTGCTAAGTGAGGGGAGCACTGGCCGGCACCGGCGCTTCCGGAACTAGACGTGCACGTGGCAGGCGCTGCGCAGAAACGCGGGAGCGGGAGGGACGCAGGACGCGTCTCCCGTGTCACGGGAGCTCGGCGCGTCCGCCCTCCGGCCCCGGAGCTCTCACCTGTCGATCAGCGCGATGATGATGTTCTTCACGTTCACGTTCTGGTGCAGCTCGGCGCAGGCCCGGAGGAAAGGGTTCAGGGTCTGCAGGTGGAACTCGTCGGGGAAAACCTGAAAACCGAGCAGAGCTGACTGGACAGCGAACACAGCTCGCGTCAGCCTCTGGGCCGGCTCGCGGTACTCAGAGTTCGAACTCGTGGGAGAGATGGCTTCAGTCTCAAGGACCAAATTAAAATACGCTGAGCTCTCCGCCGTAAGCCCAAACAGACCGGTCCTCTAACCACAGGCACCCACACTGTGCTGCACCTAACGAGACCTGGGGAACGGGAGGTTCGCTTTCTGACACGTGGGGGAAACACAGAGACCACATGTGAGCGGCGGAGAAAGGAATTCTTTATTCACCAAGGCCCATTTCTCCTGTCAAGGTTTTTTTAAAAAAAAATCAAAACATAAATCGCCCTAGCCAGTGTGGCTCAGTAGATAGAGCGTCAGCCTGCGAACTGAAAGGTCCCAGGTATGATTCTGGTCAAGGGCATGGACTCGGGTTGTGGGCTTGATCCCCAGTGGGGGACTTGCAGAGGCAGCCCACCCACGATTCTCTCTCATCCTGGGTGTTTTTATCCCTCGCTCCCTCTTCATTTCTCTTTGAAATAAATAAAAATATACATTTTTTTAAAAAATCTTTAAAAAGACATAAATGAAGTGCCATCACTTACCTGGATAATACACTCCATGAGGTATTCTTGAGCCAAAGCATCCCGACAGTTCACGACCTGCTCCAATATGCCGGTCAAGACGATCTGAGAGAAAAGTAAGAGATAAAGGATGATTTTCTAAATCTTAGGTTACTTCTCTAGTAACACACTTGGACTATTAATTTAAAAATCCTGTTTTAGGTTTTTCTCATTCTTGCTTCATTTCTAGATTAAAATTTTATAGCCCGGCTGGCGTGGCTCAGTAGTTGAGCATCAACCTCTGAACTAGGAGGTCACTGTTAGGTTCCTGGTCAGGGCACATGCCTGGGGGGTGGACTCAATCCCTAGTCAGGGGCGTGCAAGAGACAGCCAATCAATGATTTTTTCTCTCTCTCTCCTTTCCCTTCTTCTCTGAAATCAATGAAAATATATATTTTAAATTTTTTTTATAGAATTAAAAACTGTGTTTCTATTTAGTAAAATTCTTTTCCTCTGTAAAAAAAAAAACCAAAACAAAAAAAACCCCCAATATTTTTAAAAAAAGAAATCTCTGTCTAACCCAAGGTTATAGAGATTTCCTTTATGTTTTCTTCTAAAAATTTTAATAGATTTTAGGTTTAAGTCTCTGGCGCATTTTTTAGGTTTTTTTTTATGTGGTATGAGGCGGGGTCACAAGCTGGGGGTTTTGTCTGCATACAGATGTCTATATTCCAGAACCATCTGTTGTAAAGGCTGCTTCTGTGCCTTTACGAATAGCTGATTATAGTCGGTGGTCTATTCTGGATTGCTGACTCCAGGGGTCACAGGCTCGCTGGCCTATAAGTTGCCGCCACCCGTCTGCCCGCTTCAGCATGCCAGCCAGGGGCACAGCAGTCCCAGGCGGCAGAGGGGACAGTATCTACTCTCCGAAGCTTCACAGAAAAAGTCTGGCTCCCTGCTTCCTCTCCTCCCACTTCGGTGCTTATCCCGCTCCCCGAGCCGTTAGCTTACGAGCTCTGCGGTAAACCTCCAGCAAAACACGGTTCATCGCAATTCAAAAAGGGAAACTGTAATATTCAACCTTCCGCTCCACAGACTCAACACGCATCTTTGGGTTTAAGTCTTCTTAGACGTCATTTAACGACAACATCCCCGTTTAAACCAGCCTCCAGGGACACGAGAAGCGGTGACAGCGCAGAGACGGCACCGCGGGCAGGAGGAGGGGCAGCGCAGGCACCTGCTTGTAGCGCTCCACGTTGACGCCCTCCAGCTGGCTCAGCCGCACCAGGTTGGTGCCCACCAGGATGCGCAGCTCCTGCCGCTCCCGCTCCCGCTTCTCCCGGTCGCGGCTGTGGCCCTGGTGCTGCATGCGCACCCACAGCTTGTTCATCTCGGCGAAGTTGAGGAGCACGAAGTCCATGGAGTCGCTGATGTCGCCCGTCGTCTCTTCACTGCGGGGAGACGGGGAGACCTTCGCACACGGGGCCACGTCACAGACACGCTCCCCGCCACCTCCCTCCGTGCACCTCCCTGAACCCCTCTAACGCCCCGGGCTGCATCAAAGGCTTCCGACCCCCAGCTCAGCGCTCCATTTCCAGGGGACAAACTCCGGGGAATGCCGGGAGAGGACCCAGCACGCCAGCTGTTACCAGGACAGAACACTGCCCCGCGCCTTCCCTGCACCAACCAGGCCTGCTGCTCCCACAGCTCCGTTAGTGCCAAAGCCTAACTCGCCTGGCACAACGTACCGGTAACTATATCACAGAGTTGTTAAACAGTTTAAGATTCAATTGGAAGGTAAGCTTAGCGAGGAGGGGAGAGATCATGTGTTTCCTGCCTGTTCTTACACCTCCTAAGATGGGGAACTTGGTTTTCAAACCCTTTTTACCAGTCACTTAATCTTCAAAACTGGGAGTAGAATCATAATAAAGCAAATAGCCTCTACACAGCTCAGCCTGTGTTTGCTCTGCTTGTTCACATCTCATGTGTGTGCAGAGATCACGGAAACTATCCTGTTCTAGGAAACTGGCAGGCCAGCCCATACACCATACGAACAGACAGACATGCAGGGAACAGCAGGAAAACTGGGTGGTTCGTGGAAAACATTAAGCACGCGTCATTATTTCACTGTAAGGACAATTCCCAAACAGAACGCAGTTAACAAGCCACCTTTCCGAAGTCTACCGAATGGAATGAGAAATGCTCTCCATCCGCCAATGAGAAAGGCAGGTCCTAGTGACGCTCAGGCGTCCCTGTCTGCGGCACATGCCCGTCTCAGGACACACGGAGGCCCCGTCAGGGTGCCTGCACACGGCCTGTCTGCGGGAACACGGCACGCGCCCACGGACACGGGCACTCACTCGGCGGGCTCCCCCTCGTCCGGCAGGATGTTCCTGGTGCACTGCAGCAGGTAGTTACGGAGGAACAGCCCCCGCAGGGGGTGCTGCACCCCCCGGCACATCTCCACCAAGTCCTTCAGGATGTCCTTCCGGGACTGAGGGAAGGACTTGACGTACACCACGCCCACCGTGATCAGCAGGTACCTAGACGGCGAGGAGAAAGGACACGCCAGGTCAGGAATGGGAGGACACAGCCGGCACACTGAATGCCGACGCAGCTGGCACACGAGGCAGGGCCGGCTTCCTCCTGCAGGATGACAAACGTGGATGGATAGAAAACATAACGGCAGACACCCCAGTTTTACACACACACACACACACACACACACACACACACCTGTAACCATCACCTTCCCAAGTATTAGGAATAATGGTCACATTCACTTTCCTGGTAGTTAAGACATTGAACAAAACACGTCCGCTTCCTTCTATTTCCAAAACCCCTTGCTCTAGCGGAGCAGTGAAACGATCGCCCCCTGCGAGGCCCCCGGAGGGCCCTGACTTACAGCCGCGGGATGATGTTGCCCGCGTACTGCACCAGCTCGTACAAGTCCGCCACCTTCCGTCCTTTGGCAAACTCGTCCGTCAGGTAGACCTCCAGGTAGTGCAGCTCGTCGGAAATGGCCATATCTTCCCGCAGGTTAAGGCTCAACAGAACCAGGCCAGGCGAGCGACCCTGGACCCGCAGCGGCCGCTCAGCCAGGGCGCTATCTGAGAACAGGGCCGAGGAGCTGTCGGTCTGGGGGGCAAGGCAGACGGAACAGGGGTCCTCGGTCTGACAGGCACGTCTCAGAACCCATTCCCCTGCGGGTCCTACAGACAGGGTCGGAGCAGTAAGTAAAGAGCCAGCGCCCAGTGCCCTCAGGAAGCCTCTGGAAACTGAGGCACAACACAGCACTGAAGGCGGAAGCCTCAGAAGGGCCTCCGACACGGGTTTCTTCCCGTCACTCAGCACCTCTGCCTGGGGAGGGCGCTGTCGCGAAGGCAGCGCTGACACGCTCCGGGACACGCAGGGGCCAAGGCCCGGTGCCCTCCCCCAAAGGATACAGAGCTCGTAGTAGCTCTTGGGCGACAGCATGGAGGTCCGGAGCTCGCCCAGCATGTTGGACGCGTGCTTCAGGGCGTCCATGAGCTTGTTCTTGTCCTGGAGGAGGAGGGACGTGATGAGGAGTGGGCCTGACACACCCGGACTCCTTAGGGAACGCCTCCGCCCAGTGCTGACCAGCTCCGTCCCCAGCACCGAGCCCGCTCTGCGGGGAGCGGGGCAGAGTGCCAGCAGGCGCAGGGCGCAGGGAGCCGACGGTCCGGCCCGGCAGCCCTCAGCCCAACCCCGCCGCTGCGGCCCGCGTGCAGACTCGGCTCCCGGCGACCAGGAAGCGGACACCGAGCTTGTGGGGCAGGACGCTGTCCTGGCAATGGCGCCGCCACAGCTTCCAGACCCGGCTGCCGCTTACCAGGCATCTCTTCATCTGGAAGGACTGCACCTTGACGGCCTGCACAGCCTCATCCAGCAGCTTCTCCTGCTCGTCCTGCGGGGACTGCTGTGTCGTAGGCTGCAAGGCAAGAAGCGCTTCCGTGAGTCTCACCGCACGCTCTTCTCACAGCTCGGTGCTCCTACAGCTTCCCCGGCCTTCCCCGGTTTCCCGCAAGGCTGGGCCCCAGGGAACCTCCCAAACCTCCCCTCCCACTCCGTGTCTGACACTACGGCGCAGAGCGCTGTGCGGGCCCTGGGGTCAGCAGGACACCGAGGAGGAGGAGGAGGAGGAGGAGGAGGCGGCAGCAGCACTGCGCAGAGATGGCACTCCCTCTCGGGGACTGGCTGAGCGTCCCCTAAAGGCGAGCCTCGAAGGACCGTGAGGCCAGTGTTCGCTGCCCAGTGCTGCTGATACACTCTGACCCCCCAAACGCAGCCATCAGATACCACCACCTTTTCTGTATCTGTTTCAGAGCGAAAGGAAGGGAGAGAGAGAAACACCAACATCGGCAGCTGCCTCCTGCAGCCGTGCTGGGGACCGGGCAGGGCCTCTTGGAGCATGGAGTGACGCCAACCCCTGAGCCACTCCAGCCGGCACCCAGCCTGCACTTGTGAAGGCCCACGCTCCGCCCGAAGCTCTGAAAGTGTTTCTCTGGCCCCTTTCCGCCGGCCCTGCGGGCTAGTCTCAGACCAGGGAGTCGTTCATGGAACACTGACCCCCCCCCAAGCAACACGCAACGGGGGACGAACGGCGAGAAAGAAACTGGCTGGACTGGCGTGCAGTAGCCAAGACACTCTCCTCAGTCCCTGGCTCATCACTTCAAACCACACCCACAGGGACACGGACAGGATACAGGGTGGAGCCGGAGTGGCTCCAGTTGTTGATATAAAAATAATATAGTAATTAATACTAACACAAGAGTAACACCTGTGCTTTGCGCACCCACGGCTGTACACCTGCCTGTATGTCTAGGCAATCTTTGCCATCAGCAAAAACCTGCTCACCGCGCGAATTAGACCGGCCTGTCCAGCAGAATTAACCCCATCCTCTCTGTGCAGCACAAACACTGTGTTTACATCTCAATCACCCTGGGTCACGTTTCAATTGTAAGCGATGGTCATTTTTTACAACCTTGGGACCCAACACTGTCTGACACAAAATGGATATTTGTAAATGTCCAACAAGTGAACGGATGAGCTGGTGCCAGAATGTCTAGAATAAACATAGTTAATAAACAGGTACTGGAGAATCAACAGGTGAATGGACAGACCAGTGACGGTACCCGTCAATAACAGAACAGTATCCAGTCACAGGAAGGAAAGCAGCAGTGACCCTCTCTGGGAGTGAACCTAGAACACTTGTGCTAAGCGGAAGAAGCCAGACACAAAAGCCCAGATCTTGCCTGGTTCCGGGTGTGTGAAACATCCAGAACAGGCAGATCACCCCAGAAACAGGCCGCAGTGGCTGCCAGGAGGGAGTGGGGAGTCAGCGCCAGAGGAGTGCCATACGTCTCCGCCAGGTGACGATGTCTGGCAGCTGGACAGAGGTGGGGGGCATGACCCTGTGCTAAAATGCAAGGTTTGTTTTATGTAAACTTCACCTTAATTTAAGAAAGAACTAAAGAAAAGGTGGAAACGCTACAGAATCAAGATCAAATTAACATTGGTGATCGGCCCGTTAGCTGGAGACCAAACCAGCAGCACCCTACGTCTGCACAGGGGTAGGGTGCAGAGAAAAGGGGGGTCATTGTGACCACAGCGATCACAAAACCCCGCTCCGTCCCACTTCCCTCCCATCGAATGGGCTCACGGGAGCACTCACTCACTGTGATGAGGAATGAAGGAAACGCGCTTCCCCAAAAGCACGGCAGGAGTGTCACTGTTACTATTACCCCCCGTGGACGCAGCCCTCTCTCCGCTCGTCCGCACCACCTGTCCGCTGGCCAATCTCTCCACTCTGGCTGCAGAGGGGCCCCAACCACACAACCAAGCCCCCTGCAAAGTGACAACCCGCTCACAAGGCGACGGGACACTGCCACGCTCGTGCAAGGGCTGCTGCAAGCATGACGCACCAGAGAGCAACCGGAGGAGGGGCACAGGGGCAGGGAGGAGGGGGGCATGGAATCAGGAGGGGGAACATCACCTGCCCATGCACTGTACGTCCCACTGGACTCCCAGGTCCTTCCCAGCTCCCAGGAGGCCTCTCCCCGAGGCCCACTGGGCACAGCATCCTCGGCCCTCCGTCCTCGGGCTGCCTGCCTCCAGCTCCACCCGCCTCCTCCCCTCCGGACCCCTAAGCCCGTGAGAGGGGCGATTCCAGCGCTGAGCACAGTCCTAATGACAAGGCACACAGGTGCTGGACGAACTGAACTGGATCCTGGAATTCCAGGATGGGAGGAGCCAAAGAGGCCAACGCTGGTTACCTTTCTTCCTTTCCTTTTTTAAATTTTATTTTATGTTTTTATTGATTTGAGAGAGAGGAATGAGGGAGGGAGGGAGGGAGGGAGAGACAGAAACATCAGTGATGAGACAGAATCATGTATGGGCTGCCTCCTACACGCCCCCCACTGGGGATGGAGCCCGAAACCCCGCCTGTGCCCTTGACTGAGAATCCAACCGAGAATGGAACCATGACCTCCGGGTTCATAGGTCAAAGCTCAACCACCACTGAGCCATACTGTCCAGGCAGCACTGGCTCAAATGCAAACGTGAACCTGAGAGCAGACAGAGGGCACTGCCCGAGTCAGAGACAGTGACCAGACCGGCACCGCGTTTTCTCTCCCAGTGAAACCCCCGCACACAGGACTGAGGGTCTGGCTCCCCCTCCGAGCCCATCCGCCTGACACAGGGAGGGGGTGCATGGCGGGAGAGCCTTCCATTACAGGACACCACGTCCACTCTGAAGGCTGCTTTGCGGCCCTCACTGGTGGGAAGGGAAGGCCAGGCCGTGTCCAGGGGCCAGTCTGTCTGCCCAGGGGGCATGTGAGGCCTCAAAACGGAGCCACGGCGCCCCGCGCGGACACACCCTCAGCCGTGCAGACTCGGAGACACGCCAATAAAACGCCAGTGACAGCTCGCCTCTGCGGGAACCGGGCACGGGGCACGTTTGAGGAAGTGCCAGGCCCCCGGCCAGCAGCCGCGGGCGGGGAGACACCTGCTCCCGGCGAGGGGCCCGGATGTGGGCACCGGGAGGCCGGGGAGACCGGGAGGCCGGGGAAGCGCCAGGCGCCTGGGGACCGCACGCTGCTGACCGGCAGGGAGCTCGCGTCCTTCCAGGAAACGGGCGTCGGCGAGTCCCTAGAAACCGCTGGAAGGCGCCGCGGCCGGCGCAGGCCAGGGCGCCGGGACGGCCCCCCGGCGGGTGCTTCCTGCCCGGAGAGGCGAGGGGCCGCGGACACGGTCAGGGCCGGAGGTGGGACTCCGGGCGGGTGCCGGTGCCCCGGGCGCTCCGCACGCCCCGGCCCGGCCGGACGCTGGGCCCCAGCACCCGGGCTGCACTCAGGGGAGCGGCCGCGGGCCCCCGCGGACCCAGCGCCTGCAAGGCCGAGCCACCCGGGAGCGCCGCCTCGGACCTCGGCCGCCGGGAGCCGCCGCCCACCGCGCCTGCGGCCTTCCCGGCCTGCCCCGCACTCCGCAGGCCACGCCGGCTGGTCGGAGCCGCGACCCGCCGGCGGGGCCCCAACTCCGCCCGCAGCGCTCCAGGGCGATGGACGAGCGCCGGAGCGGCGAGGGGGGCCGCCCGGCCCGCCGCCCCTTGGCACTCACCATGGCGACGCCCCGGACCTGCGGCTCTCAGCAGCCTCCGCGCGCCCGGCCGCCGCGGTCAGGTGACGCCAGCCAGGCCCCGCCCTCTCTAGCCCCGCCCCCGGGCCTGCAGGAGGCCCCTCGATTGGTCCGCTTCTAGGAGCCTAAGTCTCGCGTATTGATTGGCTCTTGCCCCAGCGCACTGGGTTGACGGACCGAGGCGCCAGCCAGTCTGTTCACGGTGTGGGAGAGGGCGGGGCGGAGGGGCGGGGACTCGCTCGGAGCCAGGAAGGAGAAAGCTGGAGGGGAAGGGAGCCTTCCTGGAGTCCGTGAGGAATGGAGTCTGTGAGGAGTGGAGCCCGTGAGGAACGGAGGAAGGGAAGGAGCGGGAGCCGCCCGTCCACGTCGGTCCGCTTCGGCGCGTGCAGTCGGCGTGCGCATACGCAGAAGGAGGGCCACGATTGGTGGGCGAGGGCGGTCTCACGGTCGGTCCCAGCCAATCCGGGCGCAGCGGGAGGGCGGGGCCTGGCCGCCACTGGCGGGCGCGGCGTCGGCGCGCGGGTTTCGGGTCCTCGGAGCGGCGCGCGGGCCCTCGGGTCGGCGCCATGGAGTCGGGGCTGATCCCCCGGTTAGCGCGGCGCCTGGGCGTCTCCGAGCCCGACGTGCTCAGGTGAGTCCGGCCGCGCCCCTTCCCCGCAGGACCGAGGCCGGCGCCGTCCCGGAGGAGGTGTCGAGGGGCCGCCATGGACCCCCCCCGGAGCTGCTGGCGCCCCCGGTTCTGGGGGGACCGAAGGGGCACCGGCGGGAGCTACGGGCGAAACAACGCAGGGCGCCCCGGGCCGGGGCGGGGGTCCGGTGCGCGGGGGCCCGGATGGCAGAGGGGCCGGCGGCTGAGGGCCCAGCGGGGCCGGGTAGGCGGCGGCGGCGTGGACCGTGCACCGCGGGCCCGGGCGGGGCGGGCGGGGCAGGAGAGACCCCTGGGCCTGGGTGCCTCCACTCAGCGGCTCCGGTGGCGGCCTGGATAGGAAAGCAGGTTGTGGGCCGAAGCCGGATGGCTCAGTGGATAGAGCGTCGGCTTGGGGACTGAAGGGTCCCGGGTTCGATTCCGGTCAGGGGCATGTACACTGGTTGCGGGCATATCCCCGGTGGGGGGTCTGCAGGAGGCGGCTGATCAATGACTCTCTCTCATCGATGTTTCTGACTCTTAACTCTCTCCCTTCCTTCCTGTACAGAATCAATAAAATATATTTTAAAAAAAAGAAAAGCAGGTTGTGGGTGCCATCCACGCCCCCCGTCAGCTGGGAGCAGACCCAGCCTCTGTGCCCGGTGTTCGGGCCTGGGAGCCCAGGTCTGGAGGGAGGGGGGGTCCGGACGGAGCCGCGGGCCGGCCGCCGGGCGTGCACGCCGGTTCCGGGCCGGGAGGGAGATGGAGGGGCCGGTTGGGAGGGGTCGGAGGCTGGCTTTCGCCCGCAGGCGGGGCTGTGCACGGTGCCGTCTGAGCCAGAGCCCCGCGGCCTCCCCCAGGGATGGCTGTCCGGGCCCCACGCAGCAGTGATGGGCAAACTCATCAGTCCACGGAGCCAGACAGCAACAGGACGACGATTGCCATTTCTTTGGAGAGCCACATTTTTTAAAAATTATATATTTTGTTGATTTTTTTTACAGAGAAGAAGGGAGAAGGATAGAGAGTTAGACACCTTCCTGGGGATGTGCCTGCAACCACGGCACATGCCCCTGACCGGAATCAAACCCGGGACCCTTGAGTCAGCAGGCTGATGCTCTATCCACTGAGCCAAACTGGTCTCGGCAAGAGAGAGAGCCACATTTTATAAACCTAAACTTCTAACACCACTTCAACACAGACTCGCCCAGGCCTCGGTGTTCTGTGGGAGAGCCGCACTCCAGGGGCCAAAGAGCCGCAGGTGGCTCTCGAGCCCGCGGTTTGCCGGCCACGGGCCTAGGGCACAGGCCCAGGCCCAGGCCCAGGCCCGCCGGGGGTGTGGGACAGACGGGAGGGAGCCTCAGCTTTGTCGCTTGTCCCCAGGAAGGCGGAGGAGTACCTGCGGCTGTCCCGGGTGAGGTGCGGCGGCCTGGCTGCGCGCACCTCCGAGACCAGCAGCGCCGTCATGTGCCTGGACCTGGCGGCCGCCTGCCGAAGCTGCCCGTTGGACAGGGTAAGCGGGGCTGAGGGCCAAACTGTCCTCATCTCCCCTTCCGGGGGGGCCCATCAGAGCTCCCGTGTGTGAGGTTTTCCTGACTGTTGGAGATGGACTTAAAACCGTTTTATCAAGTTGGAGGGAGGGATTTTTTTGCAACGTTCTCTGTTACCTGATTTCCCCGGCCCGCCTTCCTCCATGCGAGGCTCCTTCCCGCTGCAGCCAGTGTCCTCCCCGGGGCACCGGCCGGGAATCGGGGAGTCGGGCTGAGACCAGATCTCGGCCCCACCTGGTTCTAGCTCCGGGAGCCTCAGTCTCCTCACCCGCGAAGTGGGGGTAAGATAAGGTGACCAGACATCCAGCTTTGGGCGGGACAGTCCCGATTTTTAACAATGTGTCCCGCGTCCCGTGGCGTTTTTTAAAAAGCCCATTGTTTGGAAAGATTAATTTGGAGAGACACCCCCTGATCCCGGTGACTTGCACACGAGCAGCTTTGTTGAAAAAGGGACGGCGGTCCCTGTACCTCTCTGTTCCTGCCGCAGCTGTACTGTGTGCGGGTCCCCGGCTCCTCTCTGAGGGGGGAGGCCCTCCACTCAGCTCTCCTGGCACAGCCCCTCGTGGGCAGGACTTAGGTCTGTGCGTGCTTCCCTTTCGAAGGCTTACGTCGCCAAGCTGGCCGGCGTGAACAAGAAGGCGTACCAGAGCCGCCTCAAGTCATTCGAGTGTCTCCTGGGCCTGAACTCGAGTGTGGGGATACAGGACCTGGCCGTCCAGTTCGGCTGCACGGAGGCCGTGGCCCTGGCCGCGCAGACGCTGCAGAGGTACGAGTGTGAGGCCCGGGCCGGGCCTGATGCCGGTCCGTAAGCAGAGTGAGTGGCGCAGGGTTCTGCCCACGAGCCTCTCGGTGGATGCCCGAGTGGCGGAGAGCGTGGCGCACACATTTAATGGCCTTTACGTCTGACGGGCATCTCCTCCCCTGCAATACTGTTCCTGACGGGACCCTGCGCGCGCTGCTCTCCCTCCCTCAGCTACGAGGCCAGCCTTCCACAGACGCAGCAGGCGGACCTCGACCTGTCCCGGCCGCTGTTCACCGCCGCCGCGCTGCTCACGGCGTGCAAGTAAGTGGGGCTCGGGTTTAACCTGCGAACCAGGAGGTCACGGTTCCATTCCCAGTCAGAGCACACGCCCAGGCTGCAGGCTTGAAATCAATAAAAAATAGATATTTGTCGTTTTAAAATGTCTTAAACCAAACAACTGTGGTTCTGCAGAACAATAACTTGCCGAATTCCTTTGTAGGATTTTAAAGCTGAAGGTGGATAAAAACAAGATGGTAGCCACGTCGGGCGTGAAGAAGGCCATCTTTGACCGGCTGTGTAAGCAGCTGGAGAAGGTCGGGCGGCAGCTGGACCGTGAGTACCGGTTCCGGGGCTCAGCGTGTCCTGTGAAAACGTGCACCTGCCGGTCGAGGGCCAGGATTTTCAGGCTTGCGGAGCAGCTGCTTCTGAATTCTGTGTTGACGGCACCTGATACGTTTCCGTGAGGAAGCCGTTTATTCCGTCGTTCACTAAAGAGCTTCAGGAGTGTTTAAAAGCCCGTGGCTCTGAGCCCACCTGGAAGTGGCTCTGCGCGGGCTTCCTGTTGGCGGCGGCCGCGCACGCCCGAGCCGGCAGAGCAGGGCTCGCGGGTCTGACGAGAAGCCGAGACCAGGGGAGCTCGCTGCCTCCTCCCGGCTCCTGGTCGCTGACCAGTCGAGGAATCTGGTTTTTATTTGTCGCCCAAAAGTGCCCAGACCTGGCCAGTGTTGCTCAGTGGTTGAGCATCGACCTATGAAGCAGGAGGTCTCAGGTTCAATTCCCAGTCAGGGCACATGCCAGGTTTGCAAGCTTCATTCCCCAGGAAGGGGGCAGCCGACCCATGATTCTCTCTCACCATTGATGCTTTTATCTCTCTGAAATCAATAAAAACGTGTAAAAAATTTGGTTTTAATATGCCCAGATACTAACGCTGAGCATAGGAGAAAAATTAACCGGATGACACTTCTCGTTTCTGAAAGGAGAGCCTCGAGATGCCGGGCCCCCGCCCTGGAAGAAACAGAAGGCCGCGGACGAGGCTCCGGGAGCGGGTAAGGCGCTCTGCCCCGCGGACGGGTCTGCTGCAGCGAGGCCGCGCCGCCGCTGTTCCCGCCTCGCGGGCACGGGTCCGAGGCACAGCTGCCGCCGGAGCGTGGCCCCTGGCCCCGCCTTGCCGCCGCCTGGCTGCGGTTTAGGGACGTCCTTCGTGTCTGAGCGCCTCCGCTTCACGGCGATGGAGGTCGCTCGTATGGCCCCGCTGCCTGGCATTGCCGGGCGGGTGAGGGCGGCGGCTTCGGTGCTGGAAGCACAGGGGACTGCGAGGCGAGTGCCACCCGCTGTCAGCGTAAGAGTAGGAATTAGGTGTGTTAGCGCGGCCTCCGCTTGCATTTCAGTCAGCGTCACGTGCCTGTGAGGGTCATGTGCCAGTGAGGGTCCCGTTCCCTGTGACCCTAACGGCCAGGGGGCACGTGAAAGAGGCTTCTCTCTTAGGGCATTTGTACACTGAGGCTGACACACGTTGGTGACTTGTCTCGCAGAAACAGAGGAGGTGGAAGAGGGCCCACCCAAACCGCCCCGCAGTGAAGACCCGGCGCTGGATTACGAGGAGTGGAAAAGGAAGATTCTGGAAAACGCTGCCAGAGCACAGGCGGCTGCGGCGGAGTGAGTGCCGCGTGCTGCTGGCTTTTATGGCAAGGACCCTCCGACCTGCCTCAGCGGGGCGGCCCCAGCCTGGGCAGCAGCCGGCCCTGGTGTGGGCGGCACGTGCACCAGATCAGCCACGGCCCCGCTGGCACGGCCCGGCTCCCCAGTGCAGGGAACCGGAGCCGCTGCTCTGTCTCCTCCGGCCTGTAACACTCAGGCCGATGGTTACAGGTTTCACTTCAGTTTTGTCTTGTTTCTTGGATTGATTAAATCAACCTATGTACAGCCAAGTTAATAAATACGCTTTTATGTGGGTTCCCGCTGCCTTCATCACTAGCAGGAAAGCAGCCGGGGAGGCGGGTGCTGAGCCGACTCGGCATCAGGCCGCCTGGGCTGCACCGGCCTCTGCCGCGCCCCCGGTCAGCACCCGGCGCTCACTCTGCCCCGTGAAGCCGGGAGCGATCGGTCTGCTCACGGAGGAGCTGAAGCACCCAGCACGGCCTGCTGAGGGAGGAGTGAGTACACGTTACAATATAGAGGAGCACAGCGCTCCCCCAGCGCATCCCACAGCCCCCTCCCTGAGAAAGCCAACGGACCAGGTTCACTTCCTGTCATCACACACTGAACAGCGTGATCTATTAGACACCCTTTCTCCAAACCACGGGGGAAAGGTCTTTCTGAAGGGAGGCTGGTGGCTGTGGGCTCAGTGATCACACCAGACACGATTTTAACTAAAATTAAGACCTGGCGGGGCTCAGTGATTGAGCGGCGACCTATGAACCAGGAGGTCACAGTTCAATTCCCGGTCAGGGTCCATCCTCAGGTTGTGGGTTTGATGCCCAGTACGGGAGGCAGCCAATAAATGTCTTTTTAAAATATATTTATTATTGATTTCAGAGAAGAAGGGAGCGAGAGATATAAAAACGTCAGTAATGAGAAGCATGGATCGGCTGCCTCCTGCACAACCCCTTATGGAGATTGAGCCTGAAACCCAAGCATGTGCCCCTGACCGATATCAAACCAAGACCCTTCAGTCCACAAGTGGACACACTGTCCACTGAGCCAAACGGCCAGGGCAGATAAATGATTCTCTTCATTGATGTTTCTACTGAAATCAGTAAATCTTTAGCACGTGGTGGTAATTATTTTGATTATGTGGATTCCAGGAGGTACTTGGTTCCGTCTTAAATTTGCACCTTGTCCAGGTGCCCTCCTAGGCAGGAATTCTTCCTGCTGTGACCTCTCCCGGGCGGGAAGCGTACACACACTCCGTCTGCCCACTTCTGTGTTAAAGTCAGCTCTCTAACAGCTCCTCCTGGTTTAACTGATTTTCTAAAACTTGGTCATGAAAGTTTTCCAAGATCTAAGCAGTGAAGAGGACAGTGACAAGCACCGACGCAACTCAGAACCTGCCTGTTACCGACACACCTTTTCCCGAAGTCCCTCACCTACAGCATCACCCGCCCCGCGCCCCCCACGCCGCACCAATCAAATTCACTCAGCAGATCCGCCATTTAGAATCCCATTTCCCCGATGTCTCCAATACCTTTTTATTTGCTCCAATTGGGGTCAAAACAAGGCCCACACTTGTCAAAGGGGTTGCTAATGTTTAATAATAAATCAGCACATGCTCCTTGTTTAAAAAATGAAACGATAAAAAGTGGGATTCCTCTCCCCCCATCACCCACGCTCCACACCCGCTGTTGGGTTTCTTACATAACACGACACGCATGTCTGTCAGTGTGGAACGGGGCCACAGGCACGCTCTGTGGGAGGGCCGTCCACACAGATCTAACAGCCATAGGGCGTTCCCTGCGTGGACGTGGAAATTTTGGTTACTAAACCCGAACGGATAGGCACCTGGGAGTGGTTTCCCTCGGACCACCAGCAAACGTTAGAATAAACAACTGGCATGAATCTCTGTCCACGGGGTCAAGGTTTGCCAAGGGAGACATTTCTGGAAGCGGAATCCCCGGTGAACGTGTGGGCAGGACTCTGATTTGGGCGCACATCCATCCGGTGTGGGAGAATGCGCCTCCCGTGCCCCCTCGGGCGGCTGGGCCCATGGATCCTGCCTTCGAGCTTCTCGGCCAGCGGTTCCCAGCGACTTCGCTCAAACGGAAAAGTCCCTGGGAAACGGCTGGTACAGGCATGGGTGTGATCTAAAGAAATGGTCAGCGAAGCACATACCCCAGCCAAACAGAGGATTTAAAATAATCCAAACTTTAATAGAAATAACCCAGGAACATTAAAGCTTCGTGAAGGCTTTCGAGCATCAGGTAAGGGAGGTGACAGTCCATCCCCCTCACTGGTGTGAACTGATCCTCTCAATGAAAGATAACAGCAGCCCAGCCCCTGGGCTCAGAGGTTGAGCCACAACTCCCGAACCAAGAGGTCACGGGTTTGATTCCCGGTCAGAGCACATGCCTGGGCTGCAGGCTTGATTCCCCACTAGGGGGCGTGCAGGAGGCAGCAGATGAATGTTTTTATCTGTATTCCTCTCCCTCTCTCAAATCAATAAACAATATATTTAAAAAAAAAAAAAAACAGCATATGGGAAAAAATAAAATTAAGTAGATAAAAGATTTTCTATCTGCCCTGTCTGATACAGAAGCCACTGATTCCATGTGGCTATTAAGCATTTAAAATTAGCTAGTACAACTACAGAAAACTTCTAGCTTTTTAAATTAAATGTCACCCTGGATGCTTAATTCCGCCAAGAGGCAGTGTGTAAGATGTCACACAGCTTGCGTCTGCTTCCGCAGTGAGTTTTATGAGATCTGAACACAAGCCCAGCCTGGATCGGAAACGTAAGGGTGGCCCATGCACCGACTGTGGAGTCTTCGCAGGAAAAATAAAAACACGAAGGGCCTCGGCAGTCACGTTGCTGTGGACTACAGACCAAAGTAACGCTTTGGGTGTGTTGTGTCCGATAAATCGCTGACCTCCTTTCGCGGGTTTCCCGCCGAGAGGAGCTGCTAGAACTGTCTCCGTTAAGGCTGTGGCTCCGCTGCTGTAGATCCAGGGAACCAGTGTGTTTTCTGGGACAAAATGCGCAGCTTCGCCAAGAAGCTGAAGGCCCAGGGGCGGGAGGACCGGGACCCCGGGGCACTGAAAGGTGTGCTCTCGCGCGCCCTCTGCAGGCTGTCCTCGGAACAACGTTCTCAGAGAGGCACCTGCTGCATCGAAATCCAACACTTTACCAGGCCCCCCCCCTTTATTTATTTATTTATTTATTTATTTATTTATTTATTTATTTATTTATTTATTTATTTATTTTAATATATTTTATTGATCTTTTTTGCCCCCCTCCCTCCCATACAGAGTTTTATGTCCATTGGTTGTACTTATATGCATGTATACAAGTCCTATCTCCCCCAAGTCTCCCTCCCCTCCCCGCTGTAATTTGATAGTATGCTTGTTGCTTTACTGTCTCTATCCCTTTATTTTTTTTAATATATTTTATTGATCTTTTTTGCCCCCCTCCCTCCCATACATACCATCCCTCCCCAGAGTTTTATGTCCATTGGTTGTACTTATATGCATGTATACAAGTCCTATCTCCCCCAAGTCTCCCTCCCCTCCCCGCTGTAATTTGATAGTATGCTTGTTGCTTTACTGTCTCTATCCCTTTTTTTTTAATATATTTTATTGATTTTATACAGAGAGGAAGAGAGAGGGATAGAGAGTTAGAAACATCGATGAGAAAGAAACATCAATCAGCTGCCTCCTGCACACCACCCACTGGGGATATGCCCACAACCAAGGCACATACATGCTCTTGACCAGAATCGAACCTGAGACCCTTTAGTCCACAGGCTGACGCTCTATCCACTGAGCCACACCGGTTTTGGCAAGACTAGGCCCCTTGAGCGTGACCCTCTCCCTGCGCCCAGGTCTCCTGCCGAAAACAAGTCTACCCGGACCAGAGCCCTCCGAGGCCGTGGAACCGCTTGGCTAATGAACAGCTCACAGCCACGCCCCCAGCGGGAGTCGCTGACCGGCGAGGGAGGCCGTGGGGACAGTCAGGTTAGCGGGGAGGAAGGCGAAAGGGCTGTTTGCTTTTGGGTAACAGTGGACTCTGTACCTTGAGTTGCCGGGACCGGTTTGGCTCAATGGATAGAGCGTCGGCTTGGGGACTGAAGGGTCCCGGGTTCGATTCCAGTCAAGGGCATGTACCTTGGTTGCGGGCATATCCCCAGTAGGGGGTGTGCAAGAGGCAGCTGGTCGATGACTCTCTCTCATCGATGTTTCTAACTATCTTTCTCCCTTCCTCTCTGTATAAAATCAATAAAATATATTTTAAAAAAAAACAAAAAAAAACAGTGGACTCTGTCTGCCGCTCCCTAAGCGGGTAAACGTGTGCCTTCATTTCTCCACAGCGGAACGTGGCTACATCCTCCTCCCCCACCCCAGGCTCCAGGCCCGCTTCATACCCGAGGGCTGGGCGTCAGGAGGGAGACGGCAGAGGCCAACACAGGGCAGAACGGGAGAGGGCAGAGGGGGAGAGACTTTAAAAGCACATTCAAACCCGCCCCGGTGGCTCCGTGACCGACCATCGACCCATGAACCAAGAGGTCACCGGTTCGATACCCGATCAAAACACAGGCCCGGGCTCTGGGCTCAATCCCCTGTGGCGGGCATGCCGGAGGCAGCCAACTGACATTTCTTTTTATTTTATTTTATTTTATTATTTTATTTATTTTATTTTATTTTATTTTATTTTATTTTATTTTATTTTATGTTAGTCCTCACCTGAGGATATTTTCCCACTGATTTTTAGAGAGAGAGAGAGAGAGAGAGAGAGAGAGAGAGAGAGAGAGAGAGAAACATCGAGGTGAGGAAAATACATTTATTGGTTGCCTCCTGCATGCGAACCGACCAGGGCCAGGGACTGAACTTGCAACCAAGGCACATGCCCTTGACCAGGATTGAACCCGGGACCCTTCAGCCTGAGGGCTGACGCTACTTCCCCTGAGCCACACTGAGAAGGGCCAGCCACTCAATGTTCCTCTCCTTCTCTCTCTGGGATCAGTACAGAATCATGAGTGTGTTCCCATGGGCCCTGGTGCTCGTTCAGCCACGGCGGTCAGTGTATTTCCAAACTCAAGGGCTGTCAGAGGGGCACGCTTCCTTCTCAAAAGGAAGCTCAGGTAGAACATGTCAGAGGATCTTTTTTTTTTTTTTTTTTAATATATTTTATTGATTTTTACAGAGAGGAAGGGAGAGGGAGAGAGAGTTAAAAACATCAATGAGAAACATCCATCAGCTGCCTCCTGCACGCCCCCTACTGGGGATGTGCCAGCAACCAAGGTACATGCCCTTGACCGGAATCAAATCCAAGACCCCTCAGTCCGAAGGCTGACGCTCTATCCACTGAGCCATCGGCTGTTAGAGGATCCGACGTGGCTGCACTCAGCGCGAGCCGGACGGTCAGCACAACGTGGCTCAGCCCCGGGGAACCGGAGCGGCAGGCCTTCCCGGGCTGAGGGAGACTGCCGACCGCCAGCCGCTGCACGGGTCCGAGTCCCGGAATCCCGCCGTGCTCCCCAGTCCGCCCGCCCCCTCCTCCCCCCTCCGTGCACGCCGCCCTCCTACCCACGGACGGCACGCCACACGCGCCCCTGCAAAGGGTGCACCTGCCGAGCAGACAGCCTTCACACCAGCCGCTCCGACGGCGGCCACAGTCCTGCCCACGGGAAAGGCCGCCAGAGTCTCCTGGCACAGTTCTCGGCGTCTGTCTAAGCCAGAGGCCGGGTATCTCACCGCCACGGCTCCGTCACGGCCAGGAGCCTCCGTCAGGCCGGGCCCAGGGGCAGGGCGTCCAGGATCAGGGGCAGGGCGTCCGGGCCGGGCCCAGGGGCAGGGCGTCCGGGCCGGGCCCAGGGGCAGGGCGTCCGGGCCGGGATCAGGGGCAGGTGGGGAACTTCCTGAGCCTGTTGGCTGCCGTCACCACGTGGAAGTGTTTCTGGAGACGAGGGGAGAGAGGAGAGAGGAGAGAAGCGTATCTTTAGGCTCGCTGTTTTCCTTAAACAACAAAAGGACAAGTGAGGCTCTTTAAACTGATCACCGAAAACCATGGTCGGCAAACTGCGGCTCTCGAGCCACGTGTGGCTCTCCAGAGAAGTGGCGTTGGAAGAAGTTGAAGTTTAAGCCGAAACCGGTGTGGCTCAGTGGATAGAGCGTCGGTCTGCGGACTGAAAGGTCCCAGGTTCGATTCCGGTCAGGGGCATATGTGATGGTTGCGGGCACATCCCCAGTGAGGAGTGTGCAGGAGGCAGCTGGTCGATGTTTCTCTCTCATCGACGTTTCTAGCTCTCTATCTCTCTCCCTTCCTCTCTGTGAAAAATCAATAAAATATATTAAAAAAAAAAAAAAAAAGTTGAAGTGTAAAAAACGTGGCTCTCCCAAGACATTTCAGTCGTTGTGCTGTTGGTGTTTGGCTCTGAGGACTAATGAGTTTGCCGACCGCTGGCCTAAAACAAGATTCTAGCTGACATAGGACGGTCACGTGACCCTCGGGGCCAACTGGAGCAGGAGGAAGTGGGGCCACGTGCCATCCCCAGCGCGGAGCCCACGGGGGTCAGGAAACTGAGCCGGCTGGGAAGCCAACAGGACCTTTCGCTTCGGGGTGAGGACGGGACTGCTCGCTCCTTCCCGGGCTAACGTGCTTTCTCTATCTTTGCTTATTTGTTTGTTTGTTTGTTTTTTAAGATATTTGTATTGATTTCAGAGAGGAAGGGAGGGGGAAAGAGAGGTAGAAACACGAATGATGAGAATCAGGGTCCCAGGTTCGGTTCCGGTCAAGGGCATGTACCTTGGTTGCGGGCACATACCCAATGGGGAGTGTGCAGGAGGCAGCTGGTCGATGATTCTCTCTCATCGATGTTTCTGGCTCTCCACCCCTACCCTTTCCTCTCTTTAGGAAAATCAATGAGATATATCTCAGTAATAAATGAGATATATCTAAGAAATAAAATAATGAAACCATGTCAAAAAGAGGCGGAGCACAGGCACCTTCCACTTGCGCTGAGCCAGGTACTTCTGCAGCAGGAGCTGGGACCGGAGGCGCAGCTGGGCCCGGGACGCCTTGGCGGGCAGGTCGCTCAGCCACGCGTGCTTCAGGCACTGGGTGGCGCTCATCCTGCAGCTGGGAGCACACAGCGGCCGGCGGTCAGCGGCCGGCGGTCAGCGGCCGGTGGTCAGCGGCCAGCGGGGCTGTCTGTCAGGAGGCCTCACGCACGCGCCGCCCACCCCGTACCTCTTCTCCTTGACCAGCAGCTGGGACACGAAGTCCTTGGCGTCCTCCGACAGCCCCTCGAAGGACTCCGCCTCGAAGTCCCAGCAGCAGTTCACGATGAAGTTCATGGTCTCGGCGTCCGTCTCCCCGAGGAACGGGGACAGGCCGCTGAGCCTGCGGGGGGGGGGGGGACCGTGGGCCACGGCGGCCACGGCGGCCACGGCGGCCACGGCGGCCACGGGGCGGATGGTCCTCGAGGTCTGCCCCCCCCCCCCGCGCGCACGCACACACACACACACACACACACACGCACACACACTCACAGCATGTGGCCCACGGCGGCCACGGCGGCCACGCGGCCACGGGACGGATGGTCCTCGAGGTCTGCGCCCCCCCCCGCGCGCACACACGCACACACGCACACACACTCACAGCATGTGGCCCACGGCGGCCACGGCGGCCACGCGGCCACGGGGCAGATGGTCCTCGAGGTCTGCCCCCCCCCCGCGCGCACACACACACACGCACACACACACACACTCACAGCATGTAGGTGATGACGCCCACGCTCCACATGTCCGTGGGGAACGAGACGAACTCGTAGTTGACGACCTCGGGGGCCAGGAACTCGGGCGTGCCGAAGTTCACCTTCAGCTTCTCCCGCGGCTTGTACCTGGGGGGGGGGGCGGCTCAGGGAGACGCGGAGGCTGGGTCTGGGCCCAGGTGCGGGCCAGGCAATGTCAGACCCCACATGCCCCCACACACACACACATACACACTCACACACACACACATACACACACACACACACACACACACATACACATACACACACATACACACACACATACACACACTCACACACACATGCACACACACATGCACACATGCACACACATACACACACATACACACACGCACGCACACACACTCACACACACATACACACATACACACACATACACACACATACACACACAAACACACATACACACACACACACATACACACACATACAAACACACACATACACACACATGCACACACATGCACACACACACATACACACACACACACACACACACGGGTTTCCTAGGGAACCCGCACTCCCCAGGCCCCAGCCTCAGGCTTTCCTGGGTCCCCAGGAGAACTGGAAGCCATAGAGCCCCCCGAAAGCCCCCACCAGGCCTTCGCCCGGCGAGAGGAGAGAAGGTGGATTCAGCTGGCAGCTGGGCTGGGTGGGGGCTGGGGAGGGGCTGGGGGGTTGGGGGAGTTGGGGGGGGCTGGCAGCCAGGCTGGGTGGGGGCTGGGTGGGGGCTGGGTGGGGGCTGGGTGGGGGCGGAGGGGCTGGGGGGGGCTGGTGGGGCTGGGGGGCTGGGGGGGGCTGGCTCCGTGCTGGGTGCGCTGTGGCTGGGCCGGGTGACTGTCATGGGGGTTCATCGTGTTGGTGACAGGGGGTGGGGATGGGGGGGGGAGGGCTCTGCATGTGTGGGGAGGGGGTCTGGAAACCTGTTTCTGCCCCTCAATCTTCCCGTGATGCTAAAACTGCTCTAAAAAGTAAAGTGTCCATTTAAAAAATAAAAAATAAGAAATCAGCTGCGTTGCGGGTACCCGTGCCCAAGGGGGCCAGAAAGAGCCCCAGCGGGTGCTAAGTGCCCACACGCCCTCACCTTCTGGCCAGCCCGAAGTCAATGATCTTTATCTGGTGTCCGGTCTGGTTCACACACAGGATGTTCTCCGGCTGCAGAGAAAGGGGGTCTGCTGAGGGCAGTCACCAGCTGGAAGGTCGGCAGCCCCCTCACTTACTGTCAGGCCTCAGCCTCCCAGCCTCCCGGGGAAATGAATGGCCCAGGTCAGCCTACAGGGAAGGAAGGAAGGGAGGGAGGGTGATGGGTAGATGATGGAAGATGGATGATGGATGGATGATGGAAGATGGATGGATGGATGACGGATGATGGATGAATGATGGACGGATGGATGGATGATGGATGAATGATGGACGGATGGATAGTTGATGGATGATGGATGATGGACGGATGGATGGTGGATGATACAACTAGGAGTGGCAAGAAGCCAGGGATGAAATCCAGGTGAAAGCTCTCAGAGCCGAGGGAGCAGCTGAGGCGTGGGAACTGGGCCGCCCGCCACGCCCAGGTGGAGCCTGACCTTGAGGTCCAGGTGCAGGATGTAGTGCTGGTGGAGGTAGTGCACGCCCTCGCAGATCTGCTTGGTGAACAAGATCACGTCCAGCTCCGTCAGGTGGTACTTCTCATCCGTGATCCGGTCGAAGAGTTCTCCCCCGTCCACGCTGCCAGGCAAAGCGGGGCTGAGCGAGGCTCCCAGAGGCCGCCCGCCCTCAGCACCAGCGGGGGGGGAGCCCGAGGGTGCCTGTCCCCTGGGTCCATGGGGCCCTCTGCCCTGACCCGCCCCAGCTCCGGTGTGGGTGCAAAAGGAAGTGGCGGCCACGGGGGGGCTGGTTTTCTTCTGTGCAGACAATCAGGCTCACAATAGCGGGGACATTACCGATGCCACAGGCCAGGGCCGTGAACTCATCTGCCTACAGGGGCGCACGAGTGCCTCCAGGCGAGAACCCCAAACGGACAAACCAGCCCCCGTTCCGGCTGGGGGTACCGGCCCAGCGCCACTGGGTCTGCAAGAACAGCCGGAGCCCGGGCCAGGGCAGCTCAGGAGGTTGGGCGCTGTCCCCTGCACCGAAAGGCCGCCGGTTCGATTCCCGGCGAGGGCGCCTGCTCGGGTTGCGGGCTCCATCCCCAGTGAGGAGTGTGCAGGAGGCAGCCGATCGATGTCTCTCACGTCCATGTTTCTCTCCCTCTTTTCCTCCCTCTCTCTCCAAAGTCAATTTATTTTATTTTATATTTTATTGATTTCTTACAGAGAGGAAGAGAGAGGGGATAGTTAGAAACATCGACCAGCTGCCTCCTGCACACCCCCTACGGGGGATGTGCCCACAACCCAGGCACATGCCCTTGACCGGAATCGAACCTGGGACCTCTCAGTCCGCAGACTGATGCTCTATCCACTGAGCCACACCAGTTAGAGCCCAAAATCAATTTTTAAAAGAAAAGCAGTATGCCTAGGTTTTAGTGTGAAACGTCCCAATTTCCAGCTGCTACCAAGCAAACCCACATTCCTAACACCCGTGCCGGCCACACGGCCACGCACGGCAGGTGGGGTCAGGCTCACGGCCTTGTCCTCCCGCCCGGACTGGAGGTCGGCAGAGGTGACGGCGTGTCCGGGTGTCCCAGGCCGGGGGGCAGGATGGAGGGACGGGGGCAGCGCTGCCCAGCCGCCCTGCTCCAGCCGGGGCCGCGCACTCACCACTCCATGACCAGCGTGCAGCTGTGCCTGCCCTCGAAGGCGTCGTACAGCTGGATCAGGTTCGCGTGGCTCAGCTGGTTCATGATGGCCACCTCGTTCTTCACGTCCTCCTTTGGGGGGGAGGAGTCCCCAAAACAGGTCAGGAGGCGGGGCCGGCGGCACCTCCCATGGCGCACACAGGGGCACACGAGTGCCCACCACCCCCGTTTCCTGCCCTCAGAGCAGGCCGCCCCCACGCACCACCCAGCGGGTGCTCGCAGAGGGGCCTTTGTCAGGCCCCCGTCTCAGACGGGGCGCCCGGAGCCCGGAGGAAGCCAAACGCCTGGGGGGCAGGGGAGCCGCTGACTGGGGCGCGGGGGGCACGGAAAAGAGGCTGCCCAGCCACAGGGCGCCGGGGCGAGCGGCAACCTTGAACCAGGCGTTCCCGGTTCCACTCCGGGTCAGGGCCCAGGCCCTGGCTGTGGGCTCCATCCCCGTGTGGGGGTGCAGGAGGCAGCCGGTCCATGATTCTCTCTCCTCACGGATGTTCCCCTCTCTCTCTCCCTCTCCCTCTCTCTCTGACATCAGTAAGAGTATTAATATATTGGGGGCCGGGGTGGGGGACGGGGGGGAGGGGAAGGGGGAAGGAGGCAGGAAAGGCGAGGTCCCCGCTCAGCAGGGGGCGCTGGGTGGCCGGGGTCGGGCGGAGAAGGACGCGCTGAGCCCTGGCCGGGGCAGAGCCGCCGGCGGGCGGGCAGGCAGGCGGGCGGACGGGCGGGCGCTCACCCGGTCCTTGCTGCTCTTCACTTTGATGACCTTGGCTGCCAGCGCCAGGCCCGTGGCCCGCTCCGTGCACCGGTGGACCTGGCCGAACCGGCCCCTGCGGACCACACAGGGCTGAGCGCCCGGGAGCTCACCCCTCACCGCCCGGGGGCCCCCTTTCCGGCCCCACCCCCTCACACACCCAGGGACCCGTGTGTGTCAGCCCACCCACTCCACACTGCCCCCTAAAACCTAGACCGGAACTGCTTCTCCCTGCACCCCAGGCCGCCATGCACCCAGGGAGCACTCCCCCTCCCCCCGCCGAGGACTTCCTGCCCCCCACCCCCAACCCCCATGCGGCCCTCCCGCTGCCTCCAACACCGCCCCTCTCCTGGGGACCCCGCCTGCCCCAGCCCGAGCCCCCCCCCACTCCCCGCCCGCCATCAGCCGGGGCACCTACCCGCCCAGCACCTCGTGCTGGCACACGGCGTAGCCCGCTGCAGCCGCCGCCTCCCGCAGGCTCACCACCCGGTGCCCGAACGGGGCCGGCGGGGCTGGGCTGTCGTCTGTGCAGGAGACAGCGGCCTGTGAGCCCCTGGGCCCTCCTCACCGCTGCGCCCCCGCCCCGGACCCCAGCGGGCGGCTCCCCCGGCCCCCAGGCTCCCCCGGCCCCGCGAGACCCCCTGGGCCCCAGCGGTCGGCTCCCCCGGCCCCCAGCTCCCGCGGCCCCGCGAGACCCCCTGGGCCCCAGCGGGCAGCTCCCCCGGCCCCCAGGCTCCCCCGGCCCCGCGAGACCCCCAGGGCCCCAGCGGTCGGCTCCCCCGGCCCCCAGGCTCCCCCGGCCTTGCAGGACCCCCTGGACAGACAGGAGGCCCGGGGGGGCTCCACACCCGCTCCCCGGGCACCGCCCACTCACCCAGAACCAGGCCGCTGGCCACAGCTCCCTGGGGCGTCCCCGCCGCGGCTGCACCCAGGCCCCCGGGGGTGCCGTCCCCCCCGGGCTCCGGGCCGCCGGCTCCCGGGCCCGTGTCCGCCCCCGAGCCCCCGCCGGCCCCGCTGGGTCCCAGGGCGGCTCCGGCTGCGGGTCCCGGCGTGTCCTCGGCCTCTGCTGCCCCATCGCTGCTCCGAGCGGTGCCGTGTTCCCCCGGCTCGGTCCCCGGGGCCTGGGGCTGGCCCCCGTGCGCAGGCGGGTCCGGCTCCCCAGGCTGGGGAGCCGCCAGGGCCTCCACGGGGGGCGCCACACGGGGGCTGGCCCCTGGCACGCCCTGCAGCTCCCCCGGCGTGTCCGTCTCCTGCACGTCCGCCTCCTGCACGTGGACGGAGAGCCTGGGGGGAGGGAGGAGACAGCCCCGAGGAGCCACCATCACTGCCCCCGTGGCCACCCCACCCGGGACAGGGGACTCAGAGGCGCTGCCGGCAGCCGCTCTGCCCCGAGTCTCCGCAGAGCGGCCCTGCCAGCCAGCCCCGTCCCGAGGACTCGCTCACCCTCCGCCCCCCCTGCGCCCGCGCCAGCAGCTCACTCACCTGGGAGGCGTGTCCTCGGTGCGGGGAGCTGCGGTGGCCCCGGCAGGCGGGCCTGAGGCCAGCGTCACCCCCTCTGCGGGCAGAGCGTCAGGCCCGCTGGCCGACGGCCCTCGTCCTGGGCCTGGTGCCGCCTCCTGGCTGGTCTCGGGGGTCTCACCAGGCGCCCCGGGAGCTGTGGCTTCCGCCTCTGGGGGCGGCAGGTGTCCAGGTGCCTGGTCGGGGCCAGGGTCCCCGCCTCCCGGCTCTGGCGGGGCCTCCGGCGGGGCCAGGACGTCAGAGCCCATCCCCAGCGCGCCGGCCGGGGGCAGCCTCGCCGCTGTGCCCTCGGGCGGGCCGGCCTTCTGGCTCTCTGCAGGGAAACGGGGGGAGTCTGTCCCCAGCAAGACAGGGACCTGCCTGCGCAGCCGCGGGGGGCGAGGGGGACCCTCTGGGGGGCTGGGTGTACAGTGTGACTGTTTCATCTAAGAGGTGCGTATGCATGTGCGTGTGTGCAAACATGTGTGTGTACACACGTGCATGTGTGTGCGTGGTGTAACCACTTACAGCGCGGTCTTAAGAGACCAGAGCTCCGGGGAAAATAAAAGTAAAAACTTCGCAGACCGGTGACGTGGGGGGGGGAGGCCAGACCAGCCTGGCTTCTCTTTGTACCTTGTTTTGTCGCCGGGCCCTGGGGGCCGGTAACTATTAGGCGGAGACGGCCCGTCAGAGCTCACTCCCCCCTGCACCCCCCAGCACCCCGCACTCACCGCCCCGCGGGCCCCGGCGCTCGGCCTGCGCGCCCCGGCTGCTCAGCGCCCGCTGTGCCTGGGCTCCCGCCGCCTCCGCTCGCTCTCTGTCCTGAAAGAAGCACCCGGACACGCCAGCGTCACCATCGCTCCGCCACGGCCACGGCCACGGCCACGGCCACGGCCACGCTCGCACCGCCACGGCCACGCTCGCACCGGCCACGTGCTGGGCCACGAGCGCGGCGCAGCTCAGCCACACCAGGGGGTGGGCGACCCCCGGCGTCCTCAGCCCCTGCTTCTAAACACGTTTGCTTTCATTGACGTCGGAGGGGAGGGCGAGGGAGGGAGAGACAGAAACATCCGCGGTCAGCTGCCTCCCGCACGCCCCCCACAGGGGGTCGAGCTTGCCATCCGGGCCTGTGCTCTGACCAAGAACGGAACCTGGGTCATAGGTCAACATCCACTGAGCCACCCGGCTGGTACCCTTCTTCTTCCTATTTTTATATTTTTAAAAAAATATATATTTTATTGATTTTTTACAGAAGGGAAGAGACAGGTATGGAGAGTTAGAAACATCGATGAGAGAGAATCATCGACCAGCTGCTTCTTACACACTCCCTGCTGGGGATGTGCCCGCAACCAAGGTACATGCCCCTGGCTGGAATCGAACCGGGGACCTCTCAGTCCGAAGGCCGATGCTCTACCCACTGAGCCACACCGGCTTCGGCTAGGTACCCTTCTTCATGAGTCCCTGTCAGGGCAGGCCCAGCCCCTGACCAAGGGTAACACAGAGTGGACCTCGACATGGTCAGAGCAGGGATGGAAAATTAATTTAAATTCAACTGTCAACTCGGACCGGCCGCTCGGGGCGAGTGGTGGGGTTTGGGTCGGATCCTAGGTCAGCTGAGCCCGTGCTCGCAGGCGGCGCCGTGACCAGTGACCGGGCCTGCCTGGGAGCCGGGCGGCTGGACCCCACAGCCCCCCTCTGGTTCCGCAGGCGGCCGGGGCGCCCCTTCCCCACTCGGCCCAGATCCCTGACTTCCCTGCGCCTCGCTTTCCCCCGCTGGAGAATGGGGGATATCAGCTTCTCACAGGGCTCAGTCCAGGGGCGGCACTGGGAGGTGCCAGCACGGGGTGGGTGCTCAGAGCCGGTGCTGGTGCCCTGCCTGGGACACAGCGCCGTCCGGGCCCCAGGCGGGGCCGTGAGGACCCAGGAGCCCAGCGCCAGCCAGCGAGCGTCCCTCACGCTGAGCACCCGCAGGAGCCCCCCCAGGGTGGTCAGCAATCCGTTAAAGATGAGCCCGCCCGGCTGGCTCAGCCTCGACCTAGGACCCAGGAGGCCACGGTTCGATTCCCGGCCAGGGCACAGGCCCGGGGTGCGGGCTCGGTCCCCAGGGTGGGGTATGCAGGAGGCGGCCGATCCATGATTCTCTCATCATTGATGTTTCTCTCTCCCTCCCTCTCCCTTCCTCTCTGACATTGATTTTAAAACTCTGGCTGCTGCCGAGATCGGTTTGGCTCAGTGGATAGAGCGTCAGCCTGCGGACTGAAGGCTCCCGGGTTCGATTCCGGTCAAGGGCATGCACCTTGGTTGCGGGCACATCCCCAGCAGGGGGTGTGCAAGAGGCAGCTGGTCGATGATTCTCTCTCATCAATGTTTCTAACTTTCTATCCCTCTCTCTTCCTCTCTGTACAAAATCAATAAAATATATTAAAACAAACAAACAAACAAAAACAAAACCTCTGGCTGCTGTCCTCAGGGTCACCACCAGCACCAGCACTGTGATGGGAGACGTCCTGCCAGCCGTCACTGGGGAGCTGGGGCCTTATCGCAGGCGCCTCCTGCCCCCCTCCCACCCCTGTATGCCCCCACCCCCTCCCTTCTGCCCAGGGAGACAGGGACTTGGACAGACTGTCCTTTGGCAGACCTCACTGCTCAGACTGTTCTCTCTCTCCCTCTGTGGCTGGTGCAGGCAGGCGCACACGCACACACGCACACACATATGCACGCACACACGTGCGCGTGTGCACGCACACACACACATGCATGCACACGCACAGGCACACATAGGCTTTGTCTTCAGCGCTCAGCTTTCTTTCTTTCTTTTTTTATTTCATTGATTTTTCTTAGAGAGAGGAAGGGAGAGAGATAGAGAGCTAGAAACGTCGATGAGAGAGAAACATCGACCAGCTGCCTCTTACACACCCCTTACCGAGGACGTGCCCGCAACCAATGTACGTGCCCTTGACCGGAATCGAACCCGGGACCTTTCAGTCCGCAGACCGACGCTCTACTGCTGAGCCACACCGGTTTCGCCCAGCGCTCAGCTTTCGGTCCCGCCTGTGCGGTGTGTGCAAAGGAAGGAGAGGAGGCCCAGCACCCCCCAGGCCTGCGTCTCTGACAGCTCCGCCGGGATGAGGCCGGCCCGCCCAGCTGGACCTGTCTGAGCCCCCCTCCACCCCACATCCCACAGCCCCAACCCCAACCCCACATCCCCCACCCCCACCCCGAATCCCACATCCCCCACCCCCCACCCCGAACCCCACACCTCCGACCCCACCGTGCATCCCACACGGCCCAAGGAGGACTCGGGTGGAGCCAGGGCCGAGTTTAAAATTTAACAGCCAGCCCGGCCGGCGTGGCTCAGGGGTTGAGCATCGACCTATGAACCCGGAGGTCTCGGCCTGATTCCCACTCAGGGCACAGGCCCAGGTTGCGGGCTCCATCCCTGTGTGGGGCGTGCAGGAGGCAGCCGGTCCATGGTTCTCTCTCCTCGTTGGTGTTTCTGTCCCCTCTCCCTCTCCCTTCCTCTCTGAAACCAACACAAACACATTTCAAAAACAAACCAATAGCAGGCGAGAACCGCAGGGATGAACGCTGTGCCCCTTGGACGCCCAGCTCGGGCCCCCACAGCCTCCGTTCTCGGCAGTCTCAGCGCCGGCTCCAGCGCACGCCCGCCCTGTCCCCGCAGTGATCTAAGCAGCTGCCCCTGTGCTGTCCCCCTGCGTGACCATCTGGCCCGGGGCACGGAGGGCGTGGAGGCCCCCTGGCGGGGCCGCGGGCAGCTGACCGCCGGCTGGGAGGGCACCCAGTCCTCAGGCGGCCCCGGACTGTGTGACCAACAGAGGATGGCCGGGCAGAGCGGAGCAGACAGCCGCATGAGGCCCGGGAAGAGGAAGGTCCCTGCCCACCACCCCCCCCTCAACCCCCCCCTCCGCCCAGAAATGCCGCCCAGGACGGCTGGCTTCACGGCCCTGCAGCGCGCTCCGACTCAACAGCCAGAGGAGGAAGGCGAAGGGGAGGACGGAGGAAGGCGAGGGGAGGACGGAGCGGCCGCCCGGGGGACAGCGCACAGGGCCGCGGACCCAGAGGACGCTCAGTGCCTGGGGAGCTGCAGGCGAGGCCCGCAGCGAGGTACAAGCCTCCGCCTGCTTCGGCGGTTCGCCCGTTCCCGGGCGAGCGCCCATTTCTGTGTGAGTTAAAGGGGAAAGGCTGCTTATGAAGCACAGGACCGACTGCCTTACCGGGAGCTGGACCCCCACCGTAAGGAGAGAGCCGGCAGCTGGGCTGTGAGGAGGGTGAGGAGGGAGGTGCCGGGCGCAGGCACAGCAGCCACGGGGGCAGAGGACCGCCCGGGAGCAGACTCGGCACCGGTGCCGGGACAGCGTGGCCGGGCGAACACGCCGATGCACGGAGACCCCCCCCCCCTCCGGCGCAGCCGCTGCAGCTTCACGGACAGAGCGAGGGCGCCCTCTGGTGCGAACACGAGATACGCCCACATCCATGACGCAAAAAGCAGCGGAGGCAGCACAGGAGGTGGCAGCTGAGCTAAAACCAAACCAGGGGCTGGGGGCACCCAGGGTGCTTCTGGAGAGCCGGCTATTTCTGGAGGATGTAGGAGACCGGGTCAGGGTCAGGGTCAGGGTCAGGGTCAGGGCCAGGGTCAGGGTTAGGGTCAGGGACAGGGTTAGGGTTAGGGTTAGGATTGGGGTCAGGATTAGGGTCAGGGTCAGGGTTAGGGTTAGGGTTAGGATTGGGGTTAGGGTTAGGATTGGGGTCAGGATTAGGGTTAGGGTCAGGGTCAGGGTTAGGATCAGGGTTAGAGTTAGGGCCAGGGTCAGGGTTAGGGGGCAGGGCTTGCTAGGGGGCAGGGTTAGGGAGCAGGAGGGGGCTGCTCTCACAGCCGGGGATGCTTTGCACTGTGCTCATGTATCAGGTGAATTCTCACTCAGAGCTGAGGCTGGTCCCCGGCCGCCTGGCTCAGGGGCTGAGCATCGACCTGTGAACCAGGAGATCACAGTTCGATTCCCGCTCAGGGCACAGGCCCAGGGTGTGGGCTCCATTTCCCGAGTGGGGCGTGAAAGGAGCAGCTGATCCGTGATTCTTACCCTTGATAGCTCTTCCTCCCTCTCCCTTCCTCTCTGAAATCAATACAACATACTGTAAAATAAACTAAATAAAATAAAGCCGAGGGTGGCTCTCAGCGGCGAAGGCAGGCCAGGCTCCCCTGTGGGCTTCACCCACAGCCAATGCCGAAGGAGGGGGCCGGGGTGGAGGTGGCGCTGGGGGAGTGGCGGGCGGGGTGGGGGAGGGTCAGCAGGGACAGCACCAGCCAGGCTGGGGGTGAGGAAGGGAGGCCGGAGCCACTGAGACCCCAGCTCAGCTGTAGCCAGAGCTGGTGGGTGCCAGCAGGTCCGAGGCGGGCTCAGGCCCGAGTGTCGCTGAGCAGCTGCCCCTGTGCTGTTCCCAACAGAGCGTTGCCTGGACACACTGCACGCGGGCAAATGCACACATACACACGCACACGCACATTCACATGCACACACACTCAAGCACACATGTGCACGCACGTACATGCATGCATGCACAGACGCGCGCACACACACACACACACACACACACACACACATGCACACCCCAGCCAAACTCCCATGAGCCCAGGCTCGATTGCACAACCCGGAGCAGCCGCCCTGCACCCCCGGCTGTGGCTCGGCCCGCCGCCCGGCCGGGTGCCCGGGTCCCTGTCAGCACCTCGGAGGCAGCTGCACTCGTGCCCACTCGGGACGGGGCACAAGGTCGCGCACAGGAAGGGAGGGGGCTGGTTCTGGATGGCGCCCTGTCGGGGGACGGGCCGCTCCCCACGCCGCCCCCGGGGGACACCGAGGGGCAGCGAGGTCACGGCCTGTCCAGCGAGCGTCCCCGCGGCCCACACCCGGCTCTGCCTTGCCCTCCCCGTCTGCACCGGGCCATGGCCTGTACGCTGCGGCTCCCCATTTCCCCATCACCTGGTCACACAGGAGGCACAAGGGGGACTAGAGGCCGGCCGGGGTGGCTCAGGGGTGAGCGTCAGCCTGGGAACCAGGAGGTAAGGGTTTGATTCCCGGTCAGGGCACAGGCCCAGGTTTTGGGCTCCATCCCCAGTGTGGGGGCCGTGCAGGAGGCAG